CAAACAATGGTATAAACAAAATGCAAGACTGGGTAGAGGCTGAGCGTCCCTGGGGACTCTGGCCGTCGCGAGCGGCCTCTGCTTGGGCAGACGCTCCCCCAGGGGTAGGCGATGGAAGCAAAGGCTTTATTTAATACAAGTATCAAGAGCATAGGAATACTTCCTAGATTCTAGTTTTAAACCTGTGATGGCAAGAACCCAGTGCTGTGTCCTGCGTACAGCACGCACCAAACACGTGCTGACTGACCCCACTTTCTCTGGCCCAGCACCTCCATGTAACCGTAACTGAGCATGTCCCAAATGCTGAGCCCATTTTCTCCTGAATCAGAATTCCGAGCTGGCTCCAGGATTTTTTGCCTTCTCATGTTCACCTTTTGCTTTCACTTCTTAACAGTATTGGGGTTTTGTTTGTTTGTTTGTTTTTTGTTTTGTTCCGCCTCTGGCCTACCCGTGAGGTCCTGCCGCTCAGCCATCCCTGTCCATGGCGGCTGCCGGCTGGCTTCCCGAGAGGCCGTGGGCCGCAGAGTGAAACCAGTTCGGGTTGGACAGCCCCGGTCCTTTTCCTTCTGGTGTCCCCCCTCAAAAAGATGCTGTGGCCCAGGCGCTGCCGGATCATTTTGCAGGGCTTTTGCTTCCTGTTTTATGCTTGCAAAGCTGGGTATGGTCCTCGAGGTGGAAATGTCTCCTAATATCCTGAGGATAATGCAACCATAAAATAAAATCATCAGTGTTGGCTTTTGCCTCCGGCGAATGCAACGTGTGTGTTGTGATTTTTGAGCAAATGCGGTTCCCTGGAGGACGCGCATTCGTGTGCCGTGTCACTCCTGTAAATTTTCACTGCCCGCGCTGGACGTGCACCCGGCACCGGCTTGTGCTGTCTGGTGCTGTCCTGCGGGCCCACCGCCTGTTAAGCCATTAAACCATCGCAGCAGGCGGGCGGGGCGGGTCTGGAGTCTCCCATTCCAGTGCAGAGAGACGGGGCTGAGCGTGTCGAAATCACGTTTCTCATGCCACCCAGCGGGCAAGGCTCGGTGCTGGAATTGGAGTTGTTTATTTGGCTCTAACACAGCCGGCTCCCTAATGGGAGATCGACATGGGAATGTACTAAGGCTTCATTTCGGACATAGACATTGATCTGGATGACAAATGAAGCCAACTGCTGCTGGCTGAGGGGGTCAGCTGTTGGGAAATTACCCGCCTCAGCGGCGAGTGTGGCCGGCGCGGCCCCAGGCTTCTGCCCCGGACTGAGGGCCGCCCTCATCCTCGGCAGCTTCATTTCTGCTTAGCACAGCCCCGCCGAGTAAGGGAACGGATCCTGGGAAAATAAATTCCTGTGGGGCTAGAGCGTGTATTTCCCCCGGCGTGGTAGAGGAGCCCTTGACATGGTTATTTTCTCCCGATTCTCAGCCTGGGATTCAGGGCTGCGGTTCCCAAGCCGGGCTCTTGGGAAGGGGGGCGGGGGCGGGGGGCCGGGAGGCGCGCGGTATCTGCCCTTCGTCCCTGCCTTCTCCTTCTCATCGGAGGCCTCCCCAGTGGCTCCTGTTTTCCTACTGACAGTAGCTTCTTATCTTGATCACCCTCTTCGTCCTTGCATCCTCAAGATTGCCAGTCTCAGTACTTTTTTCAAAACACGCTGCCTTAAAATACTATTAGGCTTCATACTCCGTGATGCCCTTTATATAATATTCTTGAAACCACCCAATTACAGAGCTGGAGAACCGATGCGTGGCTGCCCGCGCGTGGGGTGTCGTGGTGAAGGGAGACTAAAGTGGGCGTTGCGAGGGGCACCTTTGACCCCGTCATCTGTGTCGTGATACAGGGCAGGGGGCACCGGATGCAAACGTGACAAAAGGACAGAACTGTAACCGCACTTACACGCATGGCGCTTTCCCGCACGGTAGGCACAGAGCTGTCATCATGTGGGGACTGGCCAAAAGATACGGGAGACCTCCCTGTACTGCCTGCAGCTTCACGTGAACCTATTTTTTTTTAAAAAAGATACTGTTGTTCCTTTGCCTGTCATACTCATTATGTTTCCTAGTCGCTGTTTCCCTCTGAATCAATCATTCAAAGTCGTTTCCCGATTTTTTTTTTCCTGTCTAAATCTTTGGCATTAACACAGTGTTTGACTGATACCAAGTTACCAAGAAATGCTTCTTGAATTAATCGAACAATTAAATAAGCTTTACAAAAGCTCCGTGTATTAATACTTGGTCTCATTGCCCCCGCCCCCCGGCTCTGCCCTGCTCACGCCCGCACTGCGCCTCCCTCGCCTCCGTCTGGTCTCCCTCCAAGGGCTGAGCGGCACGTCCGTGGGGGCTGGCGGAGGCCTGGGGACCCGGGCTCGCCCAGGCCCACAGCCGCAGGGCCAGTATCAGGCACAGATTGTAAAAGGCAGTGACATCTGGGGGACTTAGGGCGTCGCGTCGTCCGGGCAAGCTGAGCCGGGAAGCCGGCGGGAACCCTGGCCTTCATCCACCCCTTCAGATGTGCGGGGACTCGTGTTACAGCCCAGGACGCGATCCGTCTCGGTGAACGTTCCGCCCTGAGAAGGAGAGTGTTCTCTGGTTGTCGTTTTCTGAGAGAATCTACTTCAGATCTTCCGTGTCTTTAATGATTTTGTTTTTTCGATTGATTCTGTCAATTACTCCAACTATGATTGTGGAATTGTCTTTTTCTCCTTTTAATTCTGTCTGGTTTTGCCTCATGCACTTTGAAGCTCTGCTGCTCAGTGCCTATGTATTTGTGATTTTGTTTCTTATTTTGATGAGGTGACCCTTTTATCATTGTGAGCTGTGTGTTGAATGAAGTCTTTGTCATTAATTTAAGCACCTCAGTCTTCTGCTTACCTTTCGCGGGGTGTATCTTTTCCCTCCTTTACTTGCAAACTCTTTAATGTGGCTCTCCTAACAGCCTGGATTTGGAGCTTGCTTTTTCACTCAGTTTGCTCAGTGCCCTCAGTCCATTACCATTTAATGCAATTTCTGCAGCGGTTGGATTCAGGCACCATTTATTTGCTATTGGCTTTCTCTTTGTCCCTTCTGTTCTTTGTTCCTCGGTTCTTGTCTTCTTTTGGGTGAATATTGTACCATTTCACATAAGATGTAAGTGTCTTGAAACCGCACATGACCGTCAACACCCCCCGCCCCGCATTGTGCTATAATTGTCATGTGCATTGTATTTACATATGTTACAAATCCCACAATGACATGTTACCATTTTTAAAGTCACATATATTTTTCAAACATTAAGAGGAAAATAGTCTTTTCTATCTGTCGTTTCTGGTGCTTTTCATTCCTTGGCTATTTGACATTCTGATATTCAGCCTGGGGAGCTTTGGGATTTCTTCACTTGATCTTAGCCAGAAGGCCGAGAAGTGGTGTTTTGGGATTTCTGGTGCGTTAGGCCTGCTGGGCGAGATTTCCACAATTCCCTCCTGTCTGGAAGCTTCTCTATTTGCCTTCAGATGTATGGTCTGGATGTAGAATTCTGGGTCACAGTTGTCCCCACCCCCTCCTTAAGCCCTTGACTGTCTGCTGTCCTCTCTCTGCCACAGCTTCTTATGAAACTCAACATCCTTATCTTTCCCTGTATCTAAAGCATCAGTTTTTTTCTTTTACAATTTTTTTTCTTACATTTGGTTTTCAGCGCTTCGACTGTATACCCGGGTGGTGTTCCCTTTGTGCTTCTCCTGGTTGGGGTTTTCTGATCTGCTTCAGTCTCTAGATCATCTATGGTTTTCACCCCAATTGGGCGAATTGTAGCTCTTTTTTCCCTGCATTATTCTCTCTATCTCTGTTTCTCTCTCCACCTTCTGAAATTCAATAAATATACAAAATGTTTGCTTTTCTGCTAATGTCCTACAAGACCCTGGAAATCTGTCTCTGTTTGTTTCTTCTCCAGATTGGATTTTCCTTTATATCCTTCAGCATAGTTATAATAAGTGCTTTTCCATCATTGTGGACTAATTCTAGTCTGGGGTCACATTTCCCTCGATTGTAGGTTGGATTTTCCTACTTGTTCCTGTGCCAGGTCATTTGCATCTGTGTTGGATTCGCTTCGTAAGTGATACTATGCACAGACTGTATTTATTCTGCGTGGTCCTTCAGAGAGAGCTGATTTTTTAGGTCTTAACAGGCAGTTAATTAGGCTGAACTTGAACTGAATTCGGACTTCTCTGTGGCAGGTTGCAGCCTCACTCACGCATTAGGAAAGTTAACATTGAGTGTGCTCCGTGCATTGTGCATTCAAATAGGTGACTGCTGAAAGTACAGGTAGACAGGGCCCGCACCTGAAGGAGCCTACAGTCTAGCTGGCAGGGATGGAACAGTGAGCGAATGAGCTGCCACACTCGAGTGCTGGGAGATGCGGGAGGCAGTGTGCTCCCTGAGACGGGGGCGCTGGGGCACTGTTAAAATGCAACGTAAAACTTATTTTGGAAACAAGTCAGCCCTTCTGGGAATAGGAGGTAGCTTGTTGTGCACAGGATGGTAAGAGACTGGCCGCTGCATCCGTTACCGTGTCATCATTTTGTTGGTTCTTGGACGAAAAGCATTTGTTTCGAAGTGCAGTGCACTGTGGGAAAGAACATTAAAAGCGAGTGTTTCAGTTCTTGACTGCGGTTCTGAACAGGAGGAATACCTTTTTTCGGTAGAAAAGATGATTTGATAAAATCTGCAAATAACTTCAATGATTGTAAATCAGGGAATATTAGACATTGCTGAGATAAAAAAAGACCTATCTATATTAAAGAAGATAGTCACTGTTGGGAGAAAGGTATTTCCAAGATTGTTTATACTAATGGAAACTATATCTTAAAAATCTGTGTGTTTCCAGTATCAGGTATCAAAGAGGTTTTCTAATCTGTTTGTATGTTTTCTTTCATATATAAGTTATACCTGTATAAATGGACAGGTGGCACAGGGTTGGTTTTTATTTTGTAAAAGCGTTTCTTCCATAGCAGTAACTTGAGCCTTTTTTTCTTTTTTCCTTTTTAACAGTGTATCCTATTCAGTACATGTATCTGAGGATTACCCAGGTATGTTTTTCTTCTTTTTATTTTTATTACAAATATTTATGCTATGATGCCTTTGAGGATATTTTTCTTCTGGAGCTGTAAAATGAATGTAAATGTGTTTGGGGGGACATGTTGGCAGGGACAACTTAAAGATACAGAAGCAGAATTCTCCCGATTTTCTGTGAGGTTCATGTTTACCCTGGGACGCAGCTCGGAGTCAAGAATAGTTTCCCCATAAAAGTAATTTTCTTGTGCCCCTGCGATAGCTTCAGCCCCAATACCAACCTCATTACAATGGAAATAAAGATTCTTTAACCTGGTTTAGTTGGTGGTTTTGGAGCATCACTTGGTTTTTTTATAATGTAAAAATAATTGGTTAAAACATGACAGCTAAAATAATAGTAATAGGTAAAGATAATAAACCTTTCTTCATTTCTCTAAGTATATATGGAAACATTTCTCCCTACAGTCCTGTGAGATTGTTTCCTTAATTTCCCCATTTTACAGGTGAGTGAGGAAGAGCTGGGATTTGAACCCAGGAACCCAGAGCCTGTGGGCAGCCTGTCCTAGGCATCTTCCGTAGACACAGCTGTCTGCGCTCTGTGCCCTGAGGTGCATTAGGAGGTCCACGTGCGCCTGTCCGTAGAGTCCAGGGTGTAAGGTCCCTGCAGACTCACTTTTCTGCAAAGCAAACGCGTCTGTCTTCTGTGTTTTTCACGTCTCTCAGTCTCTCTGGAGCCCGCACACAGCCCAGGACGCGTGAGATGACATTGGAGTCATGATGATCTGAAGAGATCTACAAGATGTTTCGCTTTAGTGTTTTTCTCACACATGATAACCATAATTTTATCCCGAACAAGAGCAGAAGCCCTGTTGACTTAGCGTAGTTCACACGTGCCTCCATTAGGTCACCGCAGGGAGAAGGGTGCAATGTAGCAAGAGTCTGTAGTGCAAGGAAGAGCCAGTGTCAGCTGCCTGTATTTCTCATGTACAGGGCGGGACAAAAGTAGGCTCACCGTTGTTCCTGTGGAAAACAATACCATAATTAATAAATAGTAGTACAGGAATAAACTGTTTTGCATACTCATAACTGTAAACCTACTTTTGCCCCACCTTGTGTGTGTATATATTTATTTTACTCCAGTGTTCTTACTGAATAAATTCAGATGCTTATCAAAATAATTGTTATGATCATTCAGGGTCCTAAATTAGAATCATAATTCCAATTCCTATTCAAGTCTAGCTAGTTTTCTCGCATATTTTGCATGATTGGTATCATAGTTTTCTGTATGAAATGACTAGGTTGATATAAGGAACTTTGATTATATAAACTTTGAGTATTTTCTAAAAATAGTTTATAATACAGTATGAGGACACTGTAAAACTTATTTCTTTAGCATTTAAGCAGTTTTTTCTGTGGCAGTTTGTATTATGCATTTTGAATTTTAATCTTTTTATAAGATTAAATGTCATGGAGATAATTTATTATCTTTTAAAAATTTTTTAAAAAAGATTTCATTTATTTATTTTTAGAGAGGGAAGGGAGAGAGGGAGAGAAACATGAATGTGTGGTTGCCTCTCACGCGCCTCCTACGGGGGACCTGGCCCGCAACCCAGGCGTGTGCCCTGACGAGGAGTCAACCGGTGACCCTTTGGTTTGCAGACCGGCACTCAGTCCACTGAACCACACCAGCCAGGGCTATTACTATTTTTTTCTTTTTTGGTATGATCTCAATATGTTTCAAATACCGTTTTACAAGGGGAGTTACTTCTTATTAAAGATAAGCCTATTTTTTAATAGTAGTATAAAAAGTAATCCGGGAAGATTTTATTGGAAGAACCAAGAAAAGATATGTTTGTAACGAAAAATATTTTTTGTAGATGGTTGTGCAGTGAGCCCTTGTTTAGTATGATGTGGTGTGCTTTTGATGCTGAGTGTTTGCTCAGTATGTTAGGAAAACAAAAGTCCCACTACTTGTTAATATTTCATTATTGTGCTTCTCATCTGAGGCAGCTCCTAGAGGTGGGTGGTGCGGGACTTTAATTTAAGGTGATAGAAATAATGCCACACATTCAGGCCCACCTCGAAGACGGTGAATTGCTCTGTAGCACAGGAAATTTGGTTGAAGATGCCTTTCGTAAATCAAGTGAACCAAATGTTTAGCTCCCTCTTGTGGCCAAGAGGTAATACTCTTTTTTTCGCCATGTAGGAGCCCCGCTTGGAAATACAATATAGAAAAATTGAAATTTAAGCATTGGGTTTCATTTGTGTTGTTTAAAAATTGAATTCCTTTCTTGGACCGGTTTGTAGCGAATTCCCAATATAATTTCATTTCTCCAAAGAAAAGGTGTATAAATAGAGGCCAAGAATGGCAGAGATCAGTGCATAGCTGGGTAGAATTTTGGATTGGTTGACGCGGCGCATACACTGCATGTCAAGTACTGTCATAGGTGTGACTGACTGGATTCTCAATGTCGGTCTCTGTAGAGACCGACCAGGGGCTTTCACGCCATTCTGTACTTAACGGGATGTGCGCCGCGAAGTTCCGGGGTGCTTCCCAGGGTCGCATTGTTTGGTGGCAGAACCAGGCCTGTCATTCAGCTCGGACTCTTGTCACTCCTGCAGAACTCATCGTCGTATTTCTATGGCACCTTCTTTAAAGGGGATGTCGGTATGACCGTATATTCCCAATTACTAAATGTTAGCCCACATTTATTCATACAAACAGTGCAGTGAAGATGCCTGATCTCTCAGATGGACAATATTACATAAAATTCTGTTTTTGCTCTTCCTTCCAGTATTCATACCTGTGTTTGTTCTCCTGCTGCACTGGCTAGAACTCCCAGAATAATTTTTAATAATACATGTGAACGTTTGGCAGCTTTGCCTTTTCTTTCAAAATTAGTGAGCATGCTGGCAGTTGCTCTCTTTCAGAAAAGGAAGTAGTATTCCTTTTCTCATTTACCAAGGTTTTTTAAAAGATGAATATTAAGTTCCTGTCAAATTATCATCCATCGAGATACCATGTATGCTTTCTCCTTTGAATAACAAGACGACGACAAGTTACATTAGCAGATATTTTAATGTGGGTCTATAAGAATTACATACATTTTTATATACTTTGTTAGTAAAGACTTCAAGTTGCTAAAGGAATTGAACTCTCGTTGGCATTTGCTAGAACTTGGAAGCAGATCTTTCTGAGCCTGGTATCTTTTTAAGGATGGTTCTAGGCAGTCATCTTATGTTTCTGCTATGATTTGATCTGTTCTGTTTTTCTGTTTCTTAGTCATTTTTTAAAAACATGTGTTCTTCTTAAAGCCCACTGTTTGGCAAAACGTCCAGATTTTTTTTAGCAAGAAGGTTTTTTGTTTTTCTTTTTTTTTCTTTCTTTTTTTTAGTACTCAGCCTCTAAACCTAAAAGTCTTTTGCAGCTCTGCATTTATTTCTCCTTTCTGTTGTCTTGTATTTGTTCTTGTCTTTTCCCCCTTTGATTTAATTCCTCCTGCTTATTTTCCTCAGCACCCGCCCCCTTTCCTGGATTCTGTGGTTCAGTGATCAGCTCATCACCTAAGTTTGAAAATAGGAAATTTTCTTTGCCCTATAGAAATTATCACTGGAATCCTCCAAATTCAGGATTATGCTGCCCTGTATATTTTTTAAGAAACAGGCTTGTCACTTTATAATTTTAATCTATTAAGTAACCTGTGCCATGTATTGAAACTCCCTTTGTAGTTTGTTTCAGCGAGGATGAAAATTCAGAGGGTCTTTATTGAGTTTGAGGCATACATAAAATAACATGTATGTGAATGAAATACTAAATGATATGCTGGTTCTTCAAAACGAAGTGAAGAACTACAACAGCCTTCTGGGTTACTTGTCCTTCTGTGTGGAGTTTATACTGTAGGCAGTGTTTTATTTTTTGAAGTTTAGTATGTTATAAGTCATAGGTGACTGGCTCTGCTCTAGCAGAACAGTGGAATCTTTCTCATCAGTCCCACCTTTAATTAGGAGGCTTTCCTATCGGTGGGTATGAATTTTCTCATCCTTTTTACACGTTCTACAAGGTGAGTGACAAGTTTTTGTCATTAAATATCAAAGCATTGATTTTTGGGTTCAGCCAGTTTTGCCACTTACTAACTGTAGTATTAATACGTTAATTATTTAAATAATTACTCAAGTTAATGTCTCTTTACCTTGGTTTCTTCATCTTTAAAAAAGGGATAATAACTGATTGCCTTGGGGGTGAACACGAATATTACATAGAACATTCAAGGGAAGCACCCATATTCTATTATAACAACGATGTGATTATTACTTATAATTACTTCTTTTAAAGTACATAGGGATGCGTAACGGAATGACGTGGCCTACATTATGCTGCAGTGGGAATAGAATAAAAGCGATAGTTTAGCAGATGCTTCTCCATAGCTCCCGTGGTCCACGCACATCCTTGCTTCCGGTCTCGTGAGGGGGGAGAAAATGCTCCGGCCCTTACCAGCCTTTACCGAAGACCCGCGGGCCCTCAGCAACACGCCCTGCTCGTCCTGGTCGAGGACCTCCTCTCAAGTGTTAGGAAAGGCCCTCAGCAGCCCGGGGTCAGGCGGGAGATTTCCGGGGAGGGAATTTGAGCTTGAAACATTCTATTCTGTCGCTGACTCATTCTGTCACCTTAAATAACTGCATTCCTTGCCCTTTTTATGTCCTACTTTTCCATGTCTAAACAAAGACGATGACTTTATTACAGATGTCAAAATAGTTTGAGGGCGATGGGGAAGTCATTTAAACGACAACACGAGAAGGCGTAGCACCCAGTCCTGCAGCTGGGACAGCCTCTCCCTTTCCCGTCAGGCTGCGGGGCAGAGGGTAACAGGACAGGACAGAGGCAGGGGGTGGGGGGCTGGGGCGGGGTGGGGGGCGGCCGCCGGGCTGGGCGGCAGGAGCTGCTCCGCTCTCCTGCCTTCCTGTTGCTGACTGGGGGCACGTCTCTGATCTGGCCTGTTAATTCTATGGTGCAGGCGACTTAACAGATGCTGTCATGAAACCTGGAAACATTTGGGTTTGAATAAATTAAACCGGCAACAGAAATCAGAAGTGTTGTAATGCTCAAATACTAATCAAAATACAAACTGGTCAGAAATCTCTTAGAAAATGATTAACCCTGTCCTTCAGCCGTAAACGGTGTGTGCTCACCAAACCATAAGTTTCTGAACCCAATCTCAGTGTCTTCCAGGGACAACCCTGTACGTAAGCCGCTGCATGCTTGAAACCCTGCGCTCTGAAACGGAGCCCGAGTCAGGTGCCCCTCACCCCGTGACCCTGACATGCTGCATGTGACCATGTGCACTTGATGGATTTTTCTGTATCTCCCGTTCTGGTTGATGGTCAGCTGTTACTTCTGCTGCTTTAAAGCTTCCTTTAAAGCTTCCTTTTAATTCTCTTTTTCTCCACAAGTTTGCTTCAAGGGATCCATTGTGCACAGGGCAAACCTAATTAAGTGATTGAGAAGCAAATAGCTTTGAATCAGTAGGACTCCACATGAGGGTTTAAGAAATTTAAAAGCTGACTTTAATAGAGGGTTATTTGAATCCTCACCTGAAAGTGTAATAACGTTCCTCAAAGATTCAAAGAAGAGGCTCCAGATAAGACGGTTCAACTAAGGATGAGACAATTAAAGCAATTTCGTATCAAATCAGCTTCGTTATCTGTGGTCCCAGTTGATAAACACAGAAATCTCACACCCTCCTTGATGCTGCTTGAACACGAAACGGGGCAACATTTCTAATGAGAACAGAGCGGAGTCAGGAGGCAACCCTGTTTGGTTTCGGATGTCACCCCCTCGCAGGTCCTGTTGTTGCCTCCCCGCGTAACCCGGGAGCCTTGGGTCTGTGGGTGCCGCTGCCCTCTGAACTCACACCCCATCTTTCCCCACGCAGGGTGTGAAAACAGTGTAGATGCTTCTTGGGAAATAAAGTGCTGGCTGAGATGCCTGTGCGTTCAGCGCCCTTCGCTCCCAGCACTGGCACGAGGTCGCGCGGCCCCGACTGGCAGGCCTCGATGGTGTGTGCGTCGGTCGCCTGAGCACACGCCTCCCCGGGCGGGAGTCGCCGCAGGCGTCCGGGCTGTGCTGGAGATACTTCCTCCTTCTGGTTTTATATTTGTATGTGCTGTACCCATCGTTGAGTGTGCTAGGGGACCGTAATTAATGAATGGGTGAAGTGTCTGTTAAATCGCCATCTCACAGATGTCCTGTAATTGTCAACAAACAAAGCAGAATAAACAGCTGTGTGTTCTGTTATGGTGTCATATACTTGAAGATCCGTATTTATCAGGGAAAAAATCCTAAATTTATAAAAATGTCTTTTCCAGAGGAAACAAAAGATGCATAAGAAACTTAAAGAATCTGTGGAATAATTCAGTGCTCTATGCATTTAACTTGTGCACTATTATTTAGATAAAGTTAATTTGTGGAAGAAGAAGAATTGGGAGACTTTGTATCAATTTAAAAACATATGTTATGTAAATGATTGTCTAACCACTATGCTGTACACCCGAAACCAATACAAAATGATATTAAAAGTAAATGGTAACTGAGAACCCTACAAAGGAGTTCCCATAAGACTACCAGCTGATTTCTCAAAAGAAGCCTTACAGGCAGGAGGGGGCTGGAAAGAGGTGTCCACAGTCAGGAAAGGCAAGGACCTACATCCAAGGTTGCTCTGTCCAGCAAAGCTATGACTTACAATGGAAGGGCAGATAAAATGCTTCCCAGATAAAGTCAAGTTAGAGGAGGTCATCATCACCAAGCCCTTAGTATGTGAAATGTTAAAGGGACCTACCCAAGAAAAAGAAGATCAAAACTATGAGCAGTAAAATGACAACAAACTCACACCTAAGAATACCTGAACCTAAAACACAAACAAATTAAGCAAACCAGTAGATCAGGAACAGAATCACAGAAATTGAGATCACATGGGGGCCTATCAGTGGGGGCGGGGGGAATGGGGGAAAAGAAGCATAATTGGAGGTACAAAATAGACAGAGGGAGGTTAAGAATAGTATAGGAAATGGAGAAACCAAAGAATCTATAGGTATGACCCATAGACACGAACTGCGGGGCAGGGATGCTGGAGGGAGCGGGGTGCAGGGCAGAGGGGGATAAAGGGGAGAGAAAGTGGGACAACTGTAATAGCAAAATCAATAAAATATACTTAAAAAAGGAAAGGAAACTGTAATTGAAAAATAAAAAACAAAACATAGAGTTGTATGGGAAGTAGGATTTACAACAAAAGCTCCAGCTCACATTCCCTAGTTCCTTGGCATGGAGTCTCTTTTGGGCGCCCGGTGTCCTGGGAGCTCCCTCCCCGTTCACCCCATTTCCTGTGGCGGAGGCCACGCTGGGAGGGCTGCTCGGTGACGTGGGGCGGCCAGCGGCGTCCACACGACCATGTTTCAGATGAACTTGGACAGTGTCTGTCCCAAAGTCCCTATTTCTCTAGGGGGTGCAGACGTCTTGAAGGAGGCCATTTATAATTAGTTCACACGTACATTTGCAGTGTACCTCATTTCTTTCTGACATTTATTAGAACAGCAGTGTGTGCCTTGTGCATGTTAGAAGGGATGTGGATAGAACTTTATATTTTTATAAAGGATGTACTTTTTCAAGTTACTATGCCTTTAATTGTCTGTACTTCTATGCAGATAATACGTATGTGTCAAGTTCAGAAAATGATGAAGATGTATTAGTTACCACAGAGCCAATTCCCGTAATTTTTCATCGAATTGCAACAGGTAATAGGAATACACTGTTTTTTGTTCTAGGTTGATATTTTCTTCATTGTAGGTAGCTTTGTGCTTTGGTTTCCTTTAGCCATGTAACAGATATTAATCTCTGGCATCTAGAAATCGGGTTTTTCATACGAATTTTCTATCTACAATGCAGTAGTCTGTTTTTCAACAGTTTTTAAGTGTATGAATTCGCAGTACTTTTAAAGAGCCTTATTTAAATGTATGATGTTGATATTTGCTCTTAGGAAAATACTTCATGCATAATGATACTGCAAGACAAACTGAATATTTAAACAGCATACTCAAGGCAGTGCAGACCCCAAGAAGGATACAGTGGGGGCTGAAAGAATCTGTGTAGTGGCATTTTACTTTGACCATATATTTATGAGCAATGAAAAATCAGAATAGCTTGTATATTATGTAACTCCCCCATATAATATAATTTCAGAATATCCCGTAATTTTCTTGCAGAGAGGGTAATCATCTAAAGGGTATTTGTATACTGACACTTGTGAATGTATGTTAATAGTATACTAAAAACTAAAATGATTTTTTTAATTTATAACTTTCAGAATTAAGAAAAACAAATGACATTAACTGTTGCTTATCCATAAAATCCAAATTACAGAAGGAAAATGGGGAGGTACGTAGATTATGTTTTCTACTTCTTTAAAACAATATAGATATATTTTAAATTCATTGTGTGTTTGTAGTTGATATCGTCATTGTTATTTAGGATAAGATTGAATATAGTGAATGAAGCGAGAACCTCGCGTCTTAGGGACCTGTTATGTGGGAAGGGGGTGGCCTAAAGTTAACTCTTGAGAAGGAAGCTCCCGTTCTAATAATAGAATGTCTTGTTTGTCTAAATAAAGTGCGTCCAAACCGACCTGGTGCTCTGTATTTTCATCAAATAATAGAGTTGACTGAGGAGCACTTACGTAACTTAGAGTTATAATAACTCTGTGCGGCTGTACGTAGTGTTGACGGGACCCTTAAAGTTCCATTTGCAGAAGACGCTGTCTAGCGAAAGCCGCCCAGGCTGGGGTATCGTCTTACTGTTATCGCTGAGTGTTACAGCAGCAAGGCACTCGGTACGGCCTCTGAGTGCTGGGCGGGGTGCACTCTGTTCTTCTTTATCCACCCCAAGGACCGCTGATTCAGCAGTACTGTTGCTGGCACCAAAACCTGTTAGCTTTTTATAAAACCCAAATTTCTTTTTCTAAGTTTTTTTTTTTTAATTTGAAATTTGGTCTAGAAATGTAGGGGTGATTATAAAACATTGTATTAATAGGTTCTTGTATGTATTTAAAGGAGGCTACATTTTCCCTAATTGTTTTAACAGTGTTGGGAATAGGGACAGTAACTAATAGTAACCGTTAGTTAATTCAGATGAATGTTCATTGTTTGTACTTTGGACACATAACAGATGTGGTTCAGTTAATTAGAAATTCAAACTTGAAGTTCAAGCACATTTAATTAAATATCTTTTTGAATCTGAAATTGAGAGCAATTTCCCTATTCTGAAAGTTTTTATAACATGGTTCACATTTGTTTTCATGATGTCATTTTTACATCATTGGATTCAAAGCGCCCTCCTCCAAACCGTCCGAAGTGCTGGCCGTGGGAGCGAGCCCCCTGCGCTGCGTGTGCCGAGGGCCTTACGCTGCCTGGGGTCCCTGCGCCCGGGAGTGAGACAGGATAGCGCTGGATGTCAACTGGAATTGGAGATTAAAACCTAAAAAAAAAGAATTAATATGCGCTTTCCCGATGTTTTAACAAATCGAAAGTTATAATCGGTTATATGCGGTATATATCTGTATATGTCAAATATTAAATTGTACAACTCAGGATATGCAAAATATGTATCTAGAGCTTAGTAAACTCACCAAACCATCTTATTACTTGTTGTTTTTTTGGCTCAAACCACACCAAGACTATTTTCACACGAAATCCAGGTGCTGTGCAAAGATCCGCCTATTACGGCCACTTGCTGCTTTCTTTTCAGAAGGAGGCAAACTAGTTTGGCCATTGAAACTGTCTTCTTGCTCTATTGTTTTAAGGAGTCAAGACAAAGTAGTACAGTGGAAGAAGATTCTGAAGGTGATAATGACTCTGAAGAGTTCTATTACGGAGGACAGGTAAGCGCCCCAGGCCCTCCGTGCACCCACCTCTGGATTAGCGTCCTGGTGGACGTTGTGCGCTCGTGACCTGAGTAAGGGACGTGGGTTGTTCCAGGTTCTGTAACTACAATACCCCTCTAACACATCTGTGTCTCATATTCTGCACTTCTTCTGAAATTAAGGTTACTTTTGCAACTTTTTGACTGTAATCATTCATTGACATTGAATTTGTCTTCCTTCATCATAGCGATTGCACACAGCGATTTTATTCTGCTTTCAGCTTTTACATTTCTTCAGCATATTGTGCTCACTCAGCTCTGAAATGATAACAATTCTAACAAAAGCATGGATTGTTAGTTTTAAATAGAAGAGGATTAACCTTTATAAACCTTTATTGAGCACTCCCATTATTCCATTCATTGTTTTCCTTTTTCTCTTATGCTAATGTAAAGTGTGTGTTGAAAAATTGTTAGGAAGAAACATCATAATTTGAAGATGCAGAAGTGGCATAGCCACATAGACGTATACATAAAATAATTCATTGTATTTTTCCGGGATAATGTTAAAACTTTAAACTGGGCAGTGAATTCTAGGATATGTGTGTATAAGGCGTCTTGCTCTGTTTCTGTAAACTTCTTGATCAACGAGGCTTTGTAACTTGGGCAGAGTAATGGGAAGGCAGTAATGAGGTGGTTTGCATATCGGTTCTTTCCGATTCCCTTCCTCGCCTGCGTCACCTCTGACCCGTCGCTGTCCCGCAGGTGAACTATGACGGTGAGCTGCACAAGCACCCGCAGCTCGAAGCCGACCTGTCGGCGGTCAGAGAGATCTACGGGCCACACGCAGTTTCTCTCAGGTAAGGAAATACCCGAGGGAGAAGAGTTAAAATTATTTGGTAAACCACGGGGATTTTCTGTTGGAGTTACTTAAGTGAAAACTTTCTTGGGCTTCATTATACTTGAAAATATTTGAGAGAGGTTAGTGTGTTTCTATTTACATAGAGTGGCATTCTTCAGTCTATATATATTTTTTTTTTTTTGGTTTTTGGTATATGGTTTGAGATTACATTGGCTGCATTAAAAAATTAGGTGTTTAGAGAGTGCGTCTGATAAAATACCAGCCGTAAGCAGTGTCAGAATCAATTCCGATAATAGATTTGGCCCGCTGGGCTCATGCTGCTACCACAACACGTTCGCGTGAACAACAAAGTGAAAAGTGCGTAGCCACTGGTAACCAGGTCATGTAGCGGGGTGTTACCTGGCCCTCAAAAATGGGGAGACATAAATCTTCAGTTATTTAATATATTATTTGGTGATAAGTTTGAGAATCACTTCTTACTAGTTTCATTCAGCCGGATAAGTTTGAGAATCACTTCTTACTAGTTTCATTCAGCCGACCCCCACCCTCCTTATTTACCTTTCTTTTCTCTCCTTAATTTAAGAAGCCCCTTCCCCGCCACCCGGCAGCGGCCTTCCGTGGCCTGGTCTGCCTGCCTCAGATCCCTGTTCTTTGCCTAAAGGGTAGTCCGCTTCCAGCTCTGGCCTTTTCCACCACTCAAACCAGAAACGTTCTGGTTGTCTGCATATGCCGAATTCCCACTTGACTCTGGGCATTTGTACAAGCAGTTTTCTTAAGAAAGAACACTCCCCCGCCTCCCGGCCCCCACTGCGGGCTGTATTCCAGCCCCTTCCCAAGGTCTGCTTTCCTCTGCGCCTTCGTCCAAGCTCCCTACAGGCGACTGAGTGACTCCGCCCCCGGACCCCCACCACGTTTGGCTTTTATCCACCTCTGCCTTGTAATGTGTGAGTTTACTTCTTCCCCTCTAGACTCCGAACCCTGCGGGTGCTGGGCGGCGCCCTGTTTTGTTGCTGGCTCTGCTTCGTTTGGTCTGGTTCTCAGTCACGCCTGTATTCGGGTGTTTAGCGTAGCACAGGATGCGTTGGAACGGCAGCCTGCCACATTCTTGGTGGTTTTCAGGGGCCACGTCCGCGACCCGGTGACATTCTTTTCCGTGGCCATACCTGGATTTTGAGATGCCACAGAAGTACTTTTAGTTTAGTTTACATTTAACTGTAGAAACAGAAACTCACAGGCACCGGCAGCCTAAATGGGTGGGGGTTGTGCACCCACACGCCACCCCCACGTGCAGATATACTAGGCTGGAATTGAGGGAGAGCAATTGGGATTATATGAGAAAGGCATATGTTTGCAGCTTTCAAAGTTTGAGCAAATTAGCTGTGATCATTTCATGGTTGACTCCTGCTATGGCTCCAGGGTAGGGAACGCGGCTATCCAGTGTGTTTTGGAGTGAATGAATGAAGAGGGCCGCAAAGACTATCGATAAACAGTCCAAAACAATGACTAATTTTTTAACTTTAGTTGAAAGCTTAAAACTTTAATCACAGTAATTTACCCCCCTCCCACACTAAAAAAAAAAAAAAGTCTGTGGGATATAATTAATTATATAACACAACACAGTCTTCAACGTCTTTTCATTTGAAATACGTATTTTTGTTTAGCGGACTACCGTAGCCCAGATTGACTGCTTGTATAGTTTAAACTTTTTTTAGAAAAGATTTTATTTATTTTTAGAGGGGGGAAGGCAGGGAGAAAGAGAGGGAGAGGAATACCGATGTGCAAGAGACGCACGCTGACGGGTCGCCTCCCCCACGCCCCATCCGGGGACGCAGTCCAGGCCTGAGCCCTGGCCAGGAATCCGACCGGGGGGCCTTTTGGTTTTGAGGATGATGCCCAACCTGCTGAGTCACACCAGTCAGGGCCAGTTTGAATCTTTCTAAAACACATTATTTCCGTGTCGTCTAGACCGCAATTACACTGCCATGTATATATGATATTTTAGTTTTTTCACTAGGCACTTATTAACTACCTATGATCATCTCCAGTAGTGTTTTCCATTATTAATACAATTACTGATAATTTTTCAGCCATTGAAATTAGACAAATAATTGGAATTTTATTTAAATGAAGCCTCTGAAGTCAAAAATGGTTGTGATTAGTTTTCCCCCTTGCTTATTTCACTTAAAAGTTTTGATCCCATTCAAGCCTTAACGAATGCAAGCCATGCTCTTGCCTGCTCCGGATTTCCTCTAGCTATAGAGGATGTTTCCAGAATACACACACCCCAGAGGCCTAATGATATAAAGGTGAATCTCAGCAGGGCAAGTTTGATTTACTTAAAATAAATAAGAACGAATTTACTGTCTAGTCCCAAATACTGAGGGCTGGACACATGGGAAAGGGAGTAGTTAGACATAAGGTCTTAGCCTCATCTTCCTTGCAGAGTTCTAAGTGTATTGAAAACAGGCTGTTCTAATTAGCTGTTCTTTTACTTAATTGAGGTTTATAAGAACTTAATGGAGTTTGACGAGCAAGAGTCCCTCAATATGCATAATAGGCTCTCCGGTGTCACTTTCCTCACGTGACAGCTAATGAGGAAGGCAGCTAACCACATCTGAGTTCTCCGGCGGGGGTGGGGACATCCCAGGTCTCCTTGACGGACACGCAGCCGTCTTGAGAGTTTAGAGGAGGGTGTAGGAAGAGGGACTTCCATAAAGCAGGTGATCTCCGCCCTGCCTGGCCGTATCTGAAGGCGGAACTCAGGGTTGCTGGCAATTCCGACTCGCAGGCTTCTGGATAGGAAGCGAGTTAGGTCTCGGAGGATCATGCTTAACCCGGAATGAGTCTGAATGTGTCTCAGCTGGAGTCATGCAACCAAATGAGGAGAGTTTGTGTTTTTCATCATAAATTTACTTTTCTAGTCATGTATTTATTTTTTTAAAAATGGTGATTAGTGTCATCTGAAAACAGTTTGAGATTCATTCTTTTGAAGGGAAGGGACTTCCAAGTTACAGAATTCTCATTTGGTCAGGAATGAAGTGATTCTGATAATTTGCTTGTGAGGCTTCAAGCCGGCTCCCCGTATAAAGTGCGTTTTGCTGTACGACATGCCACCTTCCATTTAAAAAATGGAAGCCATGTGAGTAATGTCGTGACTGATGTTGCATGTAGATTGGAAGATGGTGACCGTTGTGTGTGCTTTGATTGCTTTTGTGGGTGGACGTTTGTAATAGGGCCTTTCGGAGTTGGTATTGGGGGGGGCAGGCCGAGGATTTTTTAAGATCTGAGGAGGCTATACTACTGTCCGAAGGCCTGCCACCCAGACATACGTCTCCAGAGAGAGAGAAAGGGAAGGGGAGATCTTCCACAAAGAGCAGGGTGGAGCTCTTGCATTTCTCCGGATTTCTAGATTTCCCTTTGCACAGCGACCCGCCGGGCGGCTGACGGGCCTCCGGCCCTCCTCTGGCCTGGGGCCTGGCGTGGACTGTGGTCCCCACCCGCCTCCCGTGAGTGTGCACACACAGCCCATTCGGGCCAGCACAGTGTGAGCACAGTGCTGGGCGCGAATCCTGTGTCCTCTGGGCCCCATCCCAGTGCCGCTCAGTGACTGCGGTGAGCAGCACCCTCCCCCTGGTCCAGTTGTAACCATGTGGTGTGAGTGAGGTTTTAAATCCTGTTTTGTTCTAAACATGGAGATTTTGAGGACGTTTCTCCCTGGCACAACCTACATTGAAGTTTGCCTTTTGTTGTCAAAAGAGGGACTTGGACCGGGCATTGATAGTGTCCTTTCCCGCATGTTCTGTCTCCCCCTCGCGCCTCTGGAGCCGAGGAAAAAGGCAGTCTGACTCTGAGAAGTGGGGGGCCCCGAAGACGGGGAGGGGGCGCACAGAACACAGACGCAAAGGGGACTGTGTTCTTGAGAAACCCTGCGCGTAATCTAGGTGTGAGCTTCAGCACGTCAGACCCCAGGCGGTCACCTCGGCTCCCAGGGCCCGTGCCTTCTTCAAGCAAAGGCAAGGTTTTAAGCTGAGGACAGAGGTGTAGCAACTGCTCATGCTCTATCTCGTATTCACTGTTACTGTATATGGGCCTGGACTTAATTTTTTAACTTCTCCTCTGCCCTGTTGTCCTGTAGAGAAGTTCAAAGCTGCTTTGGCGGCGGCCGGCCCTGCAGATGCTTTAATCTGCCAGGATCCTTCCTGATGCCTGCGCCTGCCCAGCCCGGGGCCCACGCACAGACTGCGCTCCCGCACGGGGCACGGCGCACACTGCGCCGGCCTGCGGAGACAGGCAGGCAAGCTGTGGGTTTCAGGTGTCCCAGGACGGTGTCTGTTTCTTCACGAAATGCGTTTCTCTTCAAACTACAACCGACCAGTTGTTGAAGGCAGAAGTAGCTACCCAGCAATGGAGGTTTATTTCCCAAGCAGCTTCGGTAGAGTTTCATGCCTGTGAGTACGCACATGTAATTCTCTGGACAGTTAATAAAGGAAGGCTAGATAGCTAGAGTACATTTTTACAACCAGCACAATTGCTGCTAGTTTTGGTGCGGTAGTATTATAAAACATGGCCATTGTGTAATGAGTAAGCTGTAGTTGTGGAGAGAAAGGAGAAGCAACCCAGCCTGTCTAATGTTCAGTCTATGACGCGTATCTATGTGATGTCTCATCGGTGAGGATGTTGTGTTGATTAGTTCCAGTAAAAAGAGAATGAATTGCCAAGAATTCTCACACAAAGTGTCCTCAAAAATATATGTTCATAGAAAAATATACATTATATACAGGGTGGGGCAAAGTAGGTTTATAGTTGTATGTGAAACAGTCTCTTCTTGTATTATTATTTATTAATTAGCGTATTATTTGACATGAACAACTGTAAGCCTACTTTTGCCCCACCCTGTTCTTAAATAAACTAGGTCAGATGTAAATACGCAAAACTAAATAGCCAGTTGGGAAGCTGTGCCGCTTCAAGGAGCGGCCAGGAGGTCTGGGGAGAAATCTACGGGGCAGTGCCTTTCACACCCTTAGTTTCAGACTGACCCAGCTGCCTCGGATCGTTTCTGGGGCGTTCCCCTCACCTTTAGACGGTATTCAAGTTCAGCCTGATGTGATGTGAATAGATACAGGCTGTGCACGAGTTTATTTTGAGTTATTATAAACCCCAGACAGCATCTAGGACAGAATCAGCCACTTCGCCTCACAGTTGAAGTTGCATTCATACCGCAAGTGTGTGGCTCACTTCTGCTTGCTGTTCATCAGATCAGCTTTTGGCCACTATTGAACATCATTCAGATCGGAACGAGCCTGTTGACCCGACACTGTGTCTGGAAAAACCGTAATCACGCTTTGTGATCCCCCAGTGCAAACGGAGTGGCTGGCGTTGTGTGAAAAGGGAAGCACAGCAGAAATTGGTTTGCATATACGCAGTGTTTTTGTGCATGCTTTGAAGTGTGGCATAAAAATAAGAGTCCCTATTTACCAATCTGCACCTGCACGGCGCAGGTGATCGCAAACCTTTATGCCTCTGGCTCCCTCACATTCTGGCCTGTGGAGGTCTGTGCCCTGCTCCGGCGCCTGGAACTATCCTTTCATTTCCTTTGAAAGAAGTAGATAATGGTAGAAATTGGGAAGATACTAACTTCTAACCAAAAAAGCGTTGAAGGAATCATGTAAGGGAGACTTCGATATTCATACAGGGAAGGTTTTTTAAAAAATGTATGCTGCATTCTGACTCATAACTTCACAGAGTCTGTCGAAGTGGCCTGGAAATCCCTGTGTGAAGAGAAGAGCTGTGCATAAGGCCCTTCCTGATTTTCCTCTCGGATTTCTGTCTGTCTGCCTCTGCATATGCCACGCCCTGCTATCATACATAAATCCAAACAAAGGTTATTCTTCCCTCTGCCACTGGCAGAGATGGAAGGAAAAAAATGCCTGCAGACAAGGAGGCTGCAGGGGAAGGCTGACTGCAATAACCTGGCTGGAATGATCGGAAATCGATTTAACCTTTTAACATGGCAATTAAACAAGATACGTGGGTCAAGACTCCCAAATAGAGCTATACCATTTATTTTGCTCAATAATTCTAGAAATTCTTCTGTGAGAAGGATGCACATAGATTTTTATCCAGAGAGCTCTTTATCAACATTTATAGTGTAAGAAAAGAAAGCAACTTAATGTTGTCTTATGAAATTCTATTTCTACAAATACAGCCACTTAAATTTATGACTTAGAAAAATATTCCATACTATAGAAACAGCACCCCCAGGAAAAGTGGGAGAGCAGGACAAAAGTCTTTACATACTGTTTTATACTTCATATACTCTGTGTGTTATATGACAGGGGAGTATATGACAGCGTCCGGAGTGAGACAGGAGCCGACGCGTCGCCTCTGAGTGGGGTTCCAGTTCTCACTTCTACTTTTTGTTCGTCTCATTTAATGTAATGAGCCTACATTACATCTATAATCAGAAAAAGTATGTTTTAAGAAAATACATAACACATTTTATAAAGTAAGTTCTGCCCACTATTTAGTTATTATATAAGTACTCTTTTTCCTTTGTGTCCCTTATTTCTGTTTTATAGGGGGGAAAAAGGAATTTTAGTTTCCATACTTTTTTTGTAAGTCCTTGCTCAGTTAAGTATAGTATATTTGAACATTTCCCTCAGGATACTAGATATTTTTATATCAACTCGGTTAGTAATCGGTAATTTTAAAATGTCATGTCCACGTGCTATAGTGTAAGAATTTCCTCATTACTCGGTGTTTGTTTTGTTCCCCGATTTTGCATTACACGTGTCCTCCCGGGTGCAAGTTCGTCCTGCGGCCCTTTCCTCAAGGAGGCCACCGACGCCGGGGCCTCCCCGCCCCACAGCGGTGGCTTTGCGGTGGTGGCGTTAGTGATCCGCCCGCACCCACATTCAGTGGCTCTTTCTTAAACTTGCCTCACTATGGAGATTTGACTTCTTACATTTATGAATAATTTGCTGGTGTTGACGGTCAGCAAATTCTGACCACTGGGCCTTGGGCCCTGCTTTTCAACAGCCCAGGAGCTACACATGGTGCTTGCTTTTTAAAAGGGTTGTAAAAAAAAAGAAAAAGAGGGGTATGTGGCAGAGCCTCTGTGTGGCCTGAAAAGCCTAAAATATTTATGTGTTGACCTTCACAGGGAGGTTTACTGAGCCCCGAACCAGAGGTGTGAAAGAAGTGATTCATGGGCGTGGTTTTTATTCTTGCCTTAGTTCCTGTATAATTTCATATCTAAATTGGTGTATTTTTGTATCTAAATTTACATATCATGTCTGAATTTGCATATTGTTAGGAAGGTTCTCACTTCGAATAACACAGATGTTTTGACACATGCAATTTTTAAAAAATTAATTGCTATGTGAATAATTTTTATCCCTTAACCTTTAAAAGCATAACCAAGAAAGAATAAGAAGTACAATTTTGTAAATAATGAAAATGCACTCATTATTTTAATGTGTTTTTAAGGCGAGAATGGAGAAAGCAGGGCGTCAAAGTTACTATATTCTAGTATGCTGTAGTTTTGGGTCCTAGATTATCAAAAGTAAAAAGACTACTTAGATTCTTTTATTTATGAAATTACATAAGCCAGTTAATCATTAAATATGCCTTCTCTGAATCCTGTGAAAGTGCCACAATTTTATACTCCATTAGCATTACCTGAATATACATAAAATACACAGAAATTTTCATTGAGCACTTACGATGTACCAGATATTGTACTGGAGGGTGTTGAAGTTGGACATAAACTCAGTATCTCAGTTTTCCATTTGCTCTTTACCTGCCCTTTGACAAATTGTCCTTTCCTAACCTCAGTTTTCTCATTTGCAAGTGAGGATGGTAATAGTCTTCTTGCCGGAAGGCTACGAGGAGGCCATAATGTGATCATCCATTCACGTACGACCCGGTTTCCCACCTGAGTGATAGTTTATTGACTGCCCAACGAAGGAAGCACTCGCGTGACTAGATGGGACGTAGGCCTTCGAAGGCCCGCCCTGCTGCAGAGTGGCGGTGGCTGGCCGGCCTTACCGCGTGGGGCCTCGGTCCCCGCGTTCATAAATGAGTGCGCAGTGGTCACACGTGTGTAAAGTCCTGAGCACAGGGTTGGGCACAGAGTGCTCCGTCAATATTGACCATTTGCTTCTGTCATTTCTGTTATCTTTGTACTTGTTCCCCTCACTATGTACAGCCTTTGTAACCAAAATTGTATAAAAATCCCAAAAATAGAGATGCGTGGGTATGGAGAATATAAAAACCATTGTTTTTATACTCTTTTGTTAACTTAAAAAAAAAAAAAAAGGTGTTGGTTTGTGGCACTCCCCGGGCTGGAGGACAGTTGGTCTTCATAATGTCTTCCTGTGGAACACAGCTCGTGTTACTGGTTTTAACTTTGATAAATCAGACGTTCAGAGCTGCCTATCAAAACACAGTGACCCTGAAGTGGTAGAGTGCCCGGGTCAGCTTCGGAACCACGGGTGTCTAATGGGAAAGGAAAACCCATGGGCACGTTGTTGTGGCAGTAAATCCTTTCCCCACCCATTCTTCATGCGCAAAACTCCCTTCTTGCCCCCAGAAGCAGCTCTGCCTCCTTAGGGAGCACAGCGAAAACAGAGGTCACATGAGAAGAGTGTTCGATTGGCCACGGGGACCCGGGGACGTTTGAAGCTGTGAACCAAAAAACTCCCGAAGTGACGCGTGCAGAGGCATGTGGATGCAGATGGGAGGCTGTCTCCAGGGTCCCAGCGGGTCGCAGGAAGTGACAGTCCCTCTGGGCGGAGGCCCTAACTCAGTCCACAGTCAGTTTGGAGCTATCTGGAAATCGGGGATCAGAATTCATGATTCAGTTTTTAATTTAAAATAACCTAGGACCCACTGTCTTTTAAGGAAATTGAAAAAAATTGATGTTAATCTTTGCTTTCAGGGAATATGGAGCCATTGACGATGTAGATATTGATCTGCATATTGATGTTAGCTTTCTTGATGTGAGTATCAATGTATGCAATATGATGGCTACATTTAAAAAAACATTCATTTTTATTGAACTTCATTTGTGTATCTCTTCTAATACTTTTAGTAACATATTGGCTTTTTCAGAGTGATTTATGAAGAAATGCAATATGACTCATTCAAGAAACAGATTTTATATATATATGTATTTGTGTTCATTCTTATTACATATCCTCATATTTACAGTGTAGCACTTAGCGTAGAACTCTACTTTAAAATAGCACTTCAGTATTTCTTAAGTTTTCATTTTTACTTTCATATGAGAAGGCAAAAATTAAAAGTTCTTTAGTTTTTCTTGTAAACCAGTAGATTGAGATAATTTGTAGGCCTTATATAGTTCTTCAAACTAAGTTAAAAAAATATTTTTAATTGGGAAGATACATTAAAAACTAAAAGATGACTAATTCATCTTCAAAATGCATTTTATTTTTGCACAGGAAGAGATTGCTGTGGCTTGGGAAGTGATCCGAACAGAACCTATAATTGTCCGACTACACTGTTCCCTTACGCAGTATTTAAATGGCCCAGGTGAGCTTTATTTCACTATTATTTTGAATATTAACTAGTTGTGCATTGTGCATTAAGCAACATGACTGTGATTTGGTAATTCTGAGTATAATTGCAGCTATCTTGATAAAGATATTTCAGTATACCTGCATCCTTACAAAGATGGTTTATTGATAGTGTAACAGCAAGAGGAACATACAGTTGTATCGATTTCAGAAGTTGACAAGTTGATGTGAAATAAGCACATTAAAACCTCAAAGATCTGTACATATAGTAGAAGCTCAGTAAGTATATTTTGAGTGGCCCTTAGATTTAGGTGTCTCTGAGATTCAATTTTAATGTATATTTTTCTCACCTTTAATTATGGATGAATTTAAACTAAATGTAACATCTTTCTGGTTTTGAAAATGGAAATTATAATAATAGTTTTGTTTTCCAATACCTTCAAGGATGGTTTTGCTATCTTTCAACTGATAGCTACTTCTGACAAGGGATCCTATTGTACATCTTTCCAAGACTTACTGGATTAAATTCCTTTTCTCCTACCTGCTAACCTGCTTTTATGTCATTGTTTTGTTGTTCCTTCTTCATCTACTCACCTTGATATACACAGATTGGATCTAACACCTCTGTCTTCCATATACTGTATTTTGCTGTGTATAATGTGCACGTTTTTGCCCAAATTTTGAGGGCAATATAAGGATGCACATTATACGTGGGTATAATGATCACATATCGTGGATCTAACAATGAGTCTGTATAATCCGGTGTATAATGCGCACAAAAACGCGGGTGTGCGTTATGCACGGGAACACACTAACTGCTCCTGGGAGAAACCACTGTTTTTTATTATTTATCTTAGTCTTTCATCCTTTACCTCTGAGTATTTTATACATTTTTTTTTCCATTTGTCTTATACTCCCTTAAGTGAGTTTTTCATGAGTCAGTCTCTGATGTAACGTTTCCCTTCTATTTTTAGTATAACTACCATCTTTACTAATACCCTAGAATTTCCTCTTTTTCCTTAATTGCTTTCGTTTTATTTATGCAGTATTGTTCTGAATTTTGTGAACATCAGTCAGTGGTTGTCCAAGGTTGATTATTTTATTCCTGTAGATGGACTTCTGTTTTGCTCAGGGTTGAAGCAGGAGTTGAAATGTACTTTCAGATATCACTGTAATTTATGTCTAATTACTTTCATTAAGAAGGAGGAAGGAAGAATTGCATGCTTGCTCACTCCGTTCCACGGACTTTAGTCCTGAGATCCGAGAGCGGGGGTGGGGCCCCTGGGGCCGCCGGCCCCACTTCCCCAAGCACGTCCCTGCTCTGCACCAACGGCGCAGGGGGGCTTCCCCATCGGGCACAGCGGGGCTTCGCCTCCCGGACAGGCCCCGGCTCCCCCACCCCGCCCCTGCCCCGCACTGACCCTGCGGCGTGGCTGGTGTGCGCACCCCGCGGCCCAGCCACACCGCCTCAGGGCAGAAGCACTTTGTCCTGCAGTGGATGCTCCCACAGGACCAGGCTGAAGCTCGGACTTGACCCTTTTCCTGTCTCCCCCCCCAGATTGGTTTCTCCTGGGAGCCATTCCACAGTACATTCTTTGCCCCCAAGTCTTCACTCGGGGTCTTACCGGACCTCCCAGGGTGGGCCACAGGGCAGGAAAGAGGTCCGCGTCTGCTTCAGGAGGAAGCGCGCCTGTCTAGCCCTTCAGGAAGCCGCCGTGGGGCGCGTGTTTGGGGATGTATTGGGTGTGTCTGCCTTAGCTTCCTCCCCCCTCTTTCAGAGAGGGCAGGGTTGGGGCCAGCGCTGCAGGGCTCTTACCATGGTTCCATCCGTCCCTTTGTAGCAGAATTCTCTGCACGCTTCTCGCGTGGGGTTGGCCTTGGTTCAGGTTCTCGTCCTTCCCTGGTGCCCCCTGTCGTGGCCACACACAGTTGCGAGGAGGCTTGTCCCAGACCGGTACCCGCGCTGCCCTTTTAGGAGGAAACGTCCCCCAAGGTTGTCTTTCTCTTAGGGAAAATTCAAGGGAAAAAATGCAGTTTAAAAGGGGCATTACTGGGAAATACAGGACAGCCGCAAGAGGCGGTGATACTAAAAAGGAACAAGTTTATTATTTCAGGAAAAAATAACATGGGTTCATTTTGCTTTAAGATTTGTATTATTGCAAACAAAGAAAAAGGTGGAAAAGTACCTCTTGACCGTTTTTGTAATATGTCTTTAAGGGGTATTTATAGTAAAATTAACTTGAAAAAAAGTATGGCTGATACAAGGTTTAGACTGACCTCGTTAAGTGTTCTTTTTGAAAAACATTTATTGCTAGGTTTTGGGAATGTATGAATCACACTGCGTGAGCTATATTTGGCTAGGGCTAATCTGACCACATATCTGAGTGAACAGGAGCGATAAAGATTTGAAGAAATACACTTCCTTATCCACTTTGAAATTAAAGATAAGGATTATCTTTATTGTACATGGGGAAATACACTCTAAGTAAAAAGAAATGATGGTTATGATTTTCATGGTGTTATATAATATATATTTTTGCAGAATTGTTGGTAAGTCTGGTTTCTGATCTCAAGGATAGCGATGCTTTTACTTTAAAGTGGTCAACAACTAACATTAAAAGGGTTTTCTGTGTAGATCATTTTATTTGGGTACCTCTATGTCTACACGATCAGAGTACTGGAATGATTTCCACAGATCTTAAGCAGCCCTTTCCAACCTAAATTGTATGACACAAGGAAGGATGGAGTAAGTTTCACCTTTTTAAAAATATGAACATATGCTACCAGTATATTCTGTGAAATACTCTTTAAAACCATTGACTGGCGAGTGGTGAGTGACTTTCCTGAGAGGTTATGAACTTCACATGCATAGTTATTAACTTACAGAAATGGTCCAAACACGAAGCCCACGACGGGGTGTGCGGTGAACAGCACGGTCCCCTGCCTCCCTCTCGTCCTCTGGGTCTGTGAGAGGCGTGGGTTTACACAAACCCCTCTTCCCCTGAGAATAGTGCGCACTCTCCTACCCATGGCTGCGTACACTTACTGCCTATATTTTGAAGATTCATCGTTCATTATTATACACATCAAACATTTATAAACACACACATTATACCTTAGTCTGTAACAAGTAATAATGAAGAATGATCTTCAAAACCACGGCGTGCAAAGCAGAAAAGTGATGGGTAGTGCCGTGTGTACGCCATTTTTAAATGTGTATATGTGACCTATTATGCCATATATAAATATGTGTTTGTGTAACACTTCTTCTGTGTGTAACATTCTTAGATGTATACACGCAGAGTTACGTGCATCACTTCCCTTGTTTGTCCTGGCTGGTGGGTGAGCTTCAACTCCACATTCTGACTGATTTGTTTTTCTTTGCAGTGCCCACTGTTGATGTCTTTCAGATTTCCACCAAAGAGCGGTTTGGATTGGGGCATCAGCTGAAAAAGTAAGTTTTCTAAAGAATGAAAAGCCACTTTCTGTGAAAGAGAACCGAGCTCTCCCTTGCTTGCTGTTCCCCCGCGTCGTGAAGTGAGCGCCCCGTGTGCCGGCGGAGCCTGAGGCCAGAGCTGGGCCCGGTCCCCCGTGGCCTCCCACGGCTGGCGCCGCGCCCGCGGCGGCTGCCGGGGAGGTCGAGGATGCAGGTGCCCGCGTCTCCCAGGGCACGCGCAGGGGGAGCCGGGCCTGGGGGCCTGTTTTCTGCCTTCGGGTCTCTGCTGTGAGTCACCCTGAGGTGGCTGGTCAGCAGTGCAGTCTTCCTGCTCCCGGCCATGCCTGACTTTCTCCCCCGTGGGTTCTAGTGACGAAGGTTCTAGTGACGGTGCCCGCTGCTTGTTCCTGGTGCTTAGGGGCGGGAACGGTCGCCAGGGAGTCGCGCCCCATGTTCTCGCAGTGACACCTTTGAGAATGTCCTTTTGTAAAGAAGCCCATTACTTTGTGTTTGGGCCTTAACTCATATAATGAACTGATTTATCCCTTGGAAACATAAATTTACCCCACTTGCACTGACTTCTGAAACATGGGGCATACCTCAATTAGTCACAGTCAAACTCTAACCTGAATAAATTCCATACTTACTAAAATATTAGCTTTAAGAATTTGTATTTATGGAGATGTCCAAGGATTACATATTCTTCTGAATACAGCTCTATGCTGTAATATGACATTGAAATCTTGGTGCAAGCTTGGATGAAAGAGATCTTCAAAAATTAAGTGTAAAAAAAAACCTTCTCTTCTGGGCTCAGAGGTGACTTTACAGCGAATGGGAATCTTGCAACATTATCACAGTTCCACACCGTCCTTCCTCACTACCTCTGCCGCCAAACAGACCCCGAATAATTCCGCACGAGGCAGCCTCTGCCCCTCACCTAGGCCATTAGGCAAGGCTGGGCAGTAAGTGTGAGCACTGTGCTTTCTGTTGGTGTGGGTCAGTTTGGCAACACCTGGAGGATTTTGAGGAATTAATGTTGGCTTAGTGCCAAGAGCCACACCTGTCCTTTTCAGTAACATATGTTCACATGGGTCGATTCCTATTTGATAATAGAGGTGTGATCGCTGTCATTTTATCGTACAGGCAGATTTTGTTTCCTTATGTGTGAACATGTGCAACAATAGCTACTTCCTGTCGGTGTCCTGAGAATTAAAGAGGAAAAAAAAATCTATGTCTGAGGTTCATATTTTACTTCCTGGTATATTGTAAATTGTAAACAAATAATAACACCATTTTTTTTCCATTCCAAAAGCAGTCTGTGTTACAAATAACTGAAAAGAATGTGAAAAACCAACAATGCTGGATTATCTTGAAAGACAATCAGAACATTTAGTTTATTGCACACATAATGCTTAATTGTAAAAGTTCCTGTCTCCTTAAGTATCAAACCTAAAGGGCCCATCGTCCCCAAAAGATGGGATACAGAGAGGGTACTACAGCTTGAGACCCTCCTCAGAAAACAGTGCTGGGTCTATATCCACAGCTGACGGGCCAGAATTCTTCACCCGAGACCAGGAGGAAGTGGCCTTGACTTAGGGCACATTGAGGTCAGGGGTTACCAAATTCCTGAGAATTAAAAAAAAACAAAAACAACAACAACATCATATTTATAGGCGAAGAGGGCTGTGCTGAAGGTAAAATTTACTGATCTCAGGTTTATCTATGAAATCGGTGTCACCTGGCTTAGTTTTAAAATCATACAGTTTTATTCTGTTTTACTTCTCAGGAAGAAAAACAGGCAAATCAACTAAAAAGAAATTGATGTTGTTTATATCTTAATAAAATTGTAGTTATTAATAAAAATTTTTCAAACTGCATGACTGGCACCAAGAAAATAATTCAGATTTTATTTTACCACTTCAGCCAAATTCATTCATCCTGTGCTGTCAATGTATAATCTTTAGAAATCTCTTTATATCCTTCTTTTATTAATTCTTGTCATTGATATTTTAACTATACGATGGTAATGTATTAATAATTCATAAAGTCATAAGCGTTTTCTGTATGATGCTTTTTTACGTGCAAAGGCATCTTGTATGAATCTAAAGTAGCATCTCACTAATCACTGTGTTTGTTTTCCTTTGATAAAAGCTGTCTTTCCATAATAAATACTAAAATCTGCCACTAAATTACCCTGGGACTGCTCGTTCTAACACGCTTCCTTCGGGTTGACAGGATCATGCAGACGTTTGTCACGCAGCAGTGGAAACAGAGCAAAGAGAAATCCAGTTGCCTGCACAGCAAGAAGCTGTCGGAGAAGAAAGCCAAGTCCCCCCTGCATTTGTTTTCTACCCTGCGCAGGTGGGTGGCGGGTTCTCCATGTTCCCAAGCGCTGCGCGTGTGGTTCCCCTGTTACTCAGTTCAGAGCAGCCTGTCCTCCTCTTGCATCAGAGAAGGGAATAAAATACATGCACTGCATCAAAAATATAGGCAGTCGTTAGAGTTTTTGCTTTCTTCAATCTACCCCAACTCTGGGGCAAGTAGGAAGGGAAGAAAACCTGGTCACCTTTTGCTTTTCAGGGAAAATACCCATCAGCTCCCATGGCCATTCTGCACACGCTTTTGATTTCTGTGGTAGCTGGGCGGGCTGGCGGCCACTAAGGTGGCATTTGTCACGCAGCCGAGTTCTCCTCCCGCTTGGCAAGCCTGTGCTAACTGCTCTTTCACTTCAAAGGTCGCCAAGTTACCCTCCCCCCGGCTGCGGCAAAAGCAAGTCCAAGCTGAAACCCGAGCAGGATGGAATCTCCAAAACGCACAAGCTGTTGAGGAGGACTTGTTCCAGCACCGTCAAGACAGATGACACATGCGCCTCCAAGTCGCAGCACCGGGCCTTCGGCCGTTCCCTGTCCAGCGACCCCAGGGCGGAGCAGGTGGCGCCCACCCTCAAGTCGCACAAGCTGCTGGCCCGGCCCTGCCCTGCGGCCGCCAAGCAGGAGGACGGCCTCGCTCTCAAGCCGCACAAACTGCTGACTCGGTCCTGCTCCGGGGACCCGCGCTGTGAGCACGGAGCCCCTGTAAAGCCCCACAAACTGTTGAGCAGGTCCTACTCCAGCCACCTGCGCATGGACGAACTCTACGGGCTGAAAAACCACAAGCTGCTCGGCAAGCCCTCCGCCAGCGCCCCCAAGGCGTCCAAGGCGGAGCTCTGCGCCGAGCCCGCCGCCGAGGGCCGGAGGCTCTCCCTCACCTCAGGGCTTATTGGTATCTTGACCCCGTCTTCATCCTCCTCTTCCCAGCCAGCTGTGCGTAAACGTTTTTCCTCTTGAGTTCTTCCCCCTTAGGCTCAGGTGCAGCGGGAGAGGTTGTCTAGCGATTGGGAGAGATCTGGTAGAGGAAACAAGCAAGGCCTTTTGTTGTTGCTTTTGAAAATGTACTGGTTTTTGTACGTATTATTTTGCATATCAGACAGTTAGCAACTGGTACTGGAATGTCAGTTTCAGTTCTGGGAAAAAAAAAATGTGGTTATTGATTCGAGTTCCAGTCCAAATGGTAAGAAGAGCTACGAAACATGGAAAGACGCCAGTTGGATTCACAGAGCTAATCTTTTTAAGCAAGCTGAAATTTTAATGTTTGATTAAGTAAGTTTATCTGATCTCTAGCTTTCTCACTTAAGTGGTGGAGGACAAGGTTTTTCTAATAATTCACTTAAGAGTAATGTCCTTTCTGTTATATCTAAGAGGAAGCCTTGGCCCGGGAACACCATTACTTGTACAGAGAAGCAACACATATAACTGAATTCTCTCTGCCTCACTTGAAGCTGCTTTTCGTGGCTATAAACCCAGTGACTTTATCCCGAAGCTGGTTTTGGGGGAGGGGAGAATTGGGGTGGGAAGTGAACGTATTAAAACTTAAGAGCTTGGGTGGTATTGGGAGTCAGTCTTACACAAAATTTACCTCTAAAGTGATCTGCATCATGGTCAGTTTCAGATAAAGAAATAGACCTATCTTATGTATAAAATTTACATAAAATAGTTGATGCACTGTTTTGTTTAAGTGTGTGTGTCTGTGTTGAGAAGGCTGTATTTAGCTCTTAAAGATAAAATGGATACACCTAGCAATAGATGAAATTGCAAAAAGAAAAGAAGATACTGTTTTTAGAAAGTTGCATGATTCATTTCTGTAAATTGTTAATTTTACCACAAAGTTATATTTGTGTTAAGAAAATGTATTTCAAGGGGTTGATAATTTTAGGTGGACCTCCTTAAAGCCCATTTCTTACCAAAACCAGGTATTAAGGACATATAGAAAATAATGTCAGAGAGTTCCATAGTAGAAAGTTTCCCATGTTAGTTATACCTAAGAAAGATCATCTCAGATATTCTATTTTTAAAAAATGTATTAATGTTCTTTGTGGTTAAGCTTAAGCATAATATCATAGTTTAGAGTTGTACGCTTTTCAGTACCTAATATGTCTTTGAAGGAATCATTCTATCTGACTGTAAAATGAGTTTGAAATACTCTAAATGAGGAGGTGGGAGCATTTGACAATAATAGAGGAAATAAGTTTTTTGTGATCATGTAAAGATTCCAGTCATTTTTACTAGAGGATCAAGAATGAAAAATAGTAGTTTTGTTAGAAAAAGATTGTGAGAGTGAAGGCAGAAAGTCGATTACAATACAGAAACTCTTCAGTCTCGATGTCCTATCAGTGACTTAACTCCTGTTAATGGCGATCCTAGAAAGATCCCATCTATATTCACATTTGTACAAAGTAAAAGGCCATCATTGACATATTTCCCCATTTAAAAATTATTATTTTTTTTTTACTTTGCTTTTTATAGCCAAATGGTGCCAAATGCATTCCAATACGAGATCGCGGCTTCCTAGTGCAGGTAGGAGCCAAGATTCCAACCATTGTAGAAATATTTTAGTTTTAAGTGGGTTTTCAGATCATTTGCAGACTTGCCCTAATTACGTCTCTGTGTTGTGTTACTCAGACCATCGAGTTTGCTGAGCAGCGGATCCCCGTGTTGAACGAGTACTGCGTGGTTTGCGACGAGCGCCACGTGTTTCAGAACGGCCCCATGCTCAGGGTGAGTTCTCGCCGGCAGGGTGTCGGCGTCCGTGTAGAATACAAGGGAGAAGGGTTGAGATACAAAAATGAGTAAGTAAGTAACTGCATGTACAGCAAATACTTTCTGTCATGCAAATTATTTGGTACCCAGAGTGGTATCAGTTTGACCAATGAATCACTGTGTCTGTGGCAATCCATGCAAGAGCAAGTAGTGTTGTATTAGGAGACTGTTTCTCATTGCATTTCCTACCTGTGCCCATCTATCCTTTCTCTCTCTGTCCATTTATCTGTATGTCTCTGTATCCACCTACTTGGATGTCATGCATTATCTGTGTCGTATAGACGGAGATCAATATGGAGATAGATAGAAATATAGATGCCTATATATTTAAACCGGAACGCGGGTTTTCTTCTCAGCCAAACAACTTAAGATGCTTAATGTAGAGAGGAGAGGGTAGTCTGTATCCCAGTTAGAAGAGCTATATAGTAGCGCACAGAAAATCAGAATAAAGATTTCGAAAGGTGCCAACTCACTGACACATTCAGAGCGTGATTGGGGGAGTGCACAAGTGAAATCAGGGTGCATTTTGGGGAGAATTACCCAGTTTCAAGCCTTGCCATTTTTTTGTTGAGATAAAATTTATATAACATGCTACTCACTATTCTGATGCGTGCAGTTTACTGGATTGTAGTGTATTTGCAGTGTCGCACCACCCCCGGCACTATTTCCAGAACACTTCTATCACCCGTGAAAGAAGCCCTGTGCGGCGTGCGGTGACTCCCAATTTTCCCTTCCCCTCATCCCCTGGGAACACTATTTTCTGTCTTTATGAACTTGCCTGTTCTGGACATTTCATCTAAACGGAATCATACATTATGTGGCCTTTTAGTTTGGGCTTCTTTTCGTTACCTTAATGTTTTCAAGGTTCATCCATGTGGTGTGTATCTGTACTTTATTCCAATGTTACATTACATGGGTCTACGACATTTGTTGATCCAGTCCATTCATTAGTTAATGGAATTGGGGACATACATTAACTCTGTTTAAGTTTTTGAGGAACTCCCAAGCTATTTTGACCTTTTGCTGTTCCTGCCAAAGGTGTGTATGATGGTTTCCATGTCTCCACCAACATTTGTTGTTTTTTTTTTTCATTTATGGACATCACTGTGTGAAATTATAGCTCATTGTGATTTTGGGCTGCAGCTTCCCTAATGACTAAAGATTTTGAGCCTCTTTTCATGCGCCTATTGGCCATTTGTATATCCTCTTCAGAGGAACGTCTGTTTAAATACTTTCCCCATTTTCGAACTCTTTGTTGTTGTTGAGTTGGTAAGCGTTTTTATATATATATTCTGAATACTATACCCTTATTCAATATATGATTTGGATAAATTTTCTTTTTCCTGTGGGTTTTTTCAATTACTGCTGACGTTCAATATTCTCTATGAGTTTTAAGTGTACTGTTTTCTTCTTTAATTTTCTTTTATTAAATTTACTACAGTAACATTGATTAATAACGTCATATAAATTTCAGGTGTATAGCTCCATGATAGGACATTTGTATGTATACTCTGTTGTGTGCTCCTATGGTACACAAAAGTTTTTAATTTTGATGAAGTCCAAGTTTATCAGCTGAACTGTCGGCTAATTCAAGATCCCAAAGATTTACGACTATGTATTTTTTTCCTAAGAGTTTTATAGTTTACATCTTAACATTTAAGTCATTGTATTTCAAGATTTATACTTTAGAAAACGTATGTAATATCCATTTACAAACATAATTGTCAGGTTTTATGATATATTAGTTTCATTTTATTTTTTATAGGAGACATACATGAAAATATTTTTCTTGCTATTCCTATGCTATTTTTTTTGCCAGTCAGCTTTTCTTTTAAAGAGCCATATTGTGATTCGGAAACCCAAATTTAACTAAGTCAGCATTTATTTGTTATATATTTGCATAAATTATTTTTATTTGAGCATGGTAATGTATCGTTACGCAAATAGGTAGGACCCTTTGTTCATCTCAATTTATTCTTGTAAGAGGTGTAAAAACGAATTTGTACTTGTTGGTGTCCATCTGTGAACCTTGACCTTTAGCTTAGTCGCAGCAATGCCATTTCCGCTGCCGGAAACAACGGTACTGTTAGTAATGGCACGCGCTCCTCTGAGGCTTTTTATGTGATTCTGCGTTCAAAGTGCTTTACCTGGATTATCTAATTTAATCCTCATAGTAACCGTATGAGGTGGGTATTGTCATGATTATCTCTGCTTTACGGACGAGGAAATCAGTCATTCCCTCAACGTCCCGCTGCTACTGGTGATAGAGATGGGATTGAACCCTGGCAGATGGCACCGAGGCCACGGTTCTTAGTGACAGGGGACCCTGGACTCGTGTACTTAAACTGACTTCTCCTATGTCCTGGAAATTTACTACACATGTTGTAGAGGGTTCAGTCTTCGTGGTTTAATCGCTGGCCCTTCATTCCTGTAGTAAAGCGACAGAAGTCTTACAGCTGCTGTTAGTATTCTCTGTGCCTTAGTTCAAACTTTGTTTTACTTTTTATCGTTCTGAACTAGCGAAGTTTGCTGTCTGTTTTGGCAGTAGAAGCAAGTTGGTAAATGAGAGAAAACAAGATTTTCTAAATAAATATAGCTAGTTATCAGTTGGTTTTTATGTTGCTGTAATTCAGACTGATACCTAAGGAAATCAGAAAAAATTACTTTGGTTTCTTAAATAGTAAGGTAACTGACATATGAAATCAGATCAGGAAATGAAAATCAAAGAAACGTTTCATATTCAAAGGAAGGGAGGTGAACCGACTATGCCCTATGATTCTGTTAGAAATTTCACCTAAATCAAGCTTACGCAGTTTTTCTTTCTCTTCCTTATATCTATTGCAGTATGTTTTAGTATGATTTTAATAATATATAAAAATTATTAGAAATACAATTCCTTATAGGATATGAATAATCTGACTCTTGACCATTTATTCAGTCCATGTGATATGTCACAAACCAATGAATCCCAGAAATACAAAGAGAATAATTTATAACCCATTTGGTGATTCAACAAGTTAGATCAAACTGTCAGATAGCCATAGAATCCTGTGTCTAATGTTATTACCTTTGTTAGATCTTTCCGTTTGACAATTCACTATTTCTTAAATTTTTTCTCTTTTCTCCTAATCTGTTCTTTCAACATGGCCTAAGCCCCCTTTTGTCCAAAATCCCTAAAGTTTCAGTCTGCTGTGCGCCCCTCTGCCACCTGCCTCCGTTCTGCATACGCATGTCACAGTTTCTGCCACCTGGGGAACTCAATTGCTTATTTAGAAATAACAGGATGCTCCCTTTTTCTTTTTGTTTACAAAGTTTCTATATAAATGCCACTCCCAGATTTGAGTTCTGACTTGCGACACTCCAATCCGAGTCAAATTCACCTTGACGTCAGGAGGATGACTCAGGGACGCCCAGCTTTCCAGGGCGGCAGGGAAGTTGCGGTCTTTATCAGAAAAACCACACCCACACCAAGTCACGGGTTTTCCACATTTTGGAACCAGCCAGAGTGTTCGCGCAGCAGCTGCTTTAGAGATGGTGTGTCTGCGTTGACGTCTTCATCAAGGCTGTTTGCACAGCAGGAAGGGCTGCATTGGCGGAAGGAGGTGCTCTTACCCGCCTCTGAGGTCCTGGTGCCCTTGCCCTTTTGTTACACCCACCTTGATCACACCAGTCCTGGCTCAGTGCCGTTGTTTTCTTCTTTGACCCCTGTACATGAGCTGCTGAACTCTGCAGGAGAAAATGGCATGGTTGTGTGGATAATGTTTCTACAAACTGGGAAGTTTGTCATTGATACTCGGTGATCATTTTATATGTCCTTGGTTAATAGGCTTTCCCGTTACCCATATCAGTGTGTGATGTAAGCACTGTGACGCCATTCGCTCCTCCAGCCATGTGAAAGTGACCCAGGGGACCTGCTCTGAGGGGACCTATCAGTCTGGGAGTCTGTTCTCACCACGGGAGAAGAACGCCCAGTCCTACTGCAGCCAAGTCAGCTGGGAAACCTGAGAATCTGTAGTTTGGAGTAGCCAAGCTTACTGTCGACCTTAGGCAAATATTCATCACTAACGTTCTTATTTTAAGAGTGAAATTAATAATGCCCAGTTATAATTTGGTTATAGTTTGAGGCATTCCCATGAAAATTCTTGAGAAACTGAGCATGTGGATAAACTTGGGTATGTCCCATTTTACCTCCCAAGAGGAAAGCAGCGAGGTCTTCCTGTATTCAGGGGTCTGACTTTTGAAGAATGGATGAAAAAGCACATCCTGTTCACTTCAGTTTCTCCAGGTCTGGAAGTCATGCTTTTAGGTCTGAGATAGAGGCTAAACTAAATAATAATTACAGCAAGAAGCTTTTAGTTCAAAGATGTGATTTTCTTTTACATCCAAATGGAGTAGAAGTTGGTTTCAGTGAACAAATAACTCCAGTTGTAGGAGACGGTAGGGATCTCCGTGTGTCGAGGCGTAGTCTGGCTCGATCCTGTCTTCCTGTGGACATGTCTTGATGTCTGGGATTCCTGTCTTTCTTGATGTGCAATAAATCTTTTTTTTGCCCCAAATGTGTCTCTCCTCCAAAACATGAGAAGAACCTGAACCATTGATTATAAAACCAGAAATACAGAGAATTAAAGGTTTGCAGGTTTTGTGTTTCTAGTTTCTTTTTTAACAAGAAAGATTTTAGCAATGAATTAAGAATTCTGATAAACTGAGTATGAAAATTAAAATGCTACATAATATGCTTCCATGCAAGTTTTTGTTAAACCCTTATTTTTGTGTATACATTGGGTAAAAACAAGAAGAGACAGCCATTCTGGGTTATCTGATATTGTTAATATTTAACAGCTCTCCACCTCAAGGAGTTTTTTATAAATCTTGCCTCACTCGATTCTCTTTATCAGCGGGTCCCCTTTATAGCCTAGAGAGCTAGATGTGATTTTTAGCCTCATTTTGCGTACAGGAGAACTGAACAGTGCCCATGAGGTCCTACTGGAATAATATCCACTTCTATCTATTTTATACATTGGGTTTCCCTGTAATACTTTGAGCAAAAAGATTGGCAAAATGTTTGAAAACTACTCACCCACACCATTTCAAGTCGATTTTATTGAAATAAAATTAAAAATGTATTCATCTTAGCTTAAAAACTTCTAAAATAAGTTTTATCTTAGGCACGTATAAGTCCCCCATGCTTTTGTAAATGGTGCATAATGAATGTTGAGTTGCAAATGTGATACGTAATGGTCAGAGGCACTTGGCTTGGTTTTACAGTTTAAATGATAGGCTCTTGTTGCTTGAAAGCTATCTAATAATATAACATGAAGGATAGGTAGTATTTTACAAATTGAAACTAATTATTGTTAAGTCAAAAATCAAGTAATAGCCCTGGCTGGGTAGGTCTGTTGGATAGAGTGTCGTCCCGATTTATGAGAGTTGTGAGTTCAATCTCCAATCAGGGTGCATAAAAGAATCAACCCATGAATACGTAGATAAGTGGAACAACAGATCAGTGTCTCTCTCTCTCTCTCTCTTCCTTTCTGTCTCTCTCTAAAAATCAATTAATAAAAATTTTTTTTAAAATGATTTAGTAAATACTGTACACATTTGGTTATATTTAGGCACACATAAAGTATGTGTAATAAAGCACATCATTTCACTTATCCAGTGATAGATATTAAATTACTATATTCTCTTCCGAATTGATGTTAGAGTTGCCTGTATAAATAATATAGTAATAGTGGAATTTATTTGGGGTAAGTGGTTGGCTGGGAGTTGGCTCAAGGTGTGAGAATGTTCATCCAAAATGGAGCTACTTATTTCATTAAGGAAGATTGATTCAGGGTCTCTTCCTTGAATGGCATGTACTTAGTGTGAACGATGAGACATGTCTTGTCTCGGTTACTTAATATGATTTGAGAGCTTCCTTTTAGAGTTTCATCTTGAGTGGACATTTGAACTTCTCTCAGAATGTAGATTAAACCTGGGGAGAGTTAGTAGTCTGCCAAAACTAACTTGCAAATGTTCATCTCAAAATTAGCTGATTTACATTTCTAAAAATTACCTTCCTACCTAGAGTAGCAGGTTGTTTTATTTCATTTTCATTTTCATTGTTTAAGACAACCACTTGGTACCAAAATGGTAGTTTCTGTTGTAATTCCTAGAATGTACACGTGAACTCATGCATATACACGCCCATTTGAATGGTGACAAATTAAGTGTAGTGGATTGTCCAAGGTTCAAATGAAAATATAAAAGCCAGTCATTAATCATATACACTGAGCAAGGCTTTGGGATTAATGGATTTTAAAAACGTGTGGTTACTTGGCAAGAGCATTAAAAATAAAGTAGCTTCTGTGTCTCTTCACTTCCTTGGTGAACCTAGGGTGAATCAGGAATTAATTTCCCGAGGCCTGAAAGATGTCCAGTGTTCATCTTCTCCCTGGGCTCTCGTTTGCATACAGCGCCACTGTGCTCACACACCAATGTGAGTGTTTGGGACTATAGTAAATACACCACAAATGATTGCTTGTATTGTTTCAGACCATACCACGCTCTCAAAAAGTGAACAAAAACAGAAAGAAGCCCATGTTAGTGGGAGAAATTGAGGGTTAAACATGTAAACACTTAGCTACACACACACACACACACACACACACACACACACACACACACACACACACACAGGTTAATGGGTTAAACACTCAAATAAAAGAAAACGAAATTACACTGTCTGCTCTTAAGTACATCCAGATCCGTAGAGGAGTGTGTGCTGCTTGAGTCTAGATGACGAACTTTTTCCAATTAATTTCCTCCCATAGGTAGCTTTTCCTGATATTTCTGAAACGGACTCAAACTGCCCATTTCAGGCCGACACAGGAAATATATCAGTTTTTTTCCCCCCACTAAAATTCTCTCTCTTAGGGGACTGTCAGCCAGAAACCTTTGTGAGGAAACCTTTGTGATCCGGTCATGCTTTCTGTCCACAAAACCACCCTAGGAGCCCGTTCTCAACACAAAGGATGTTCCGAACGGGCCCTGCCTCCCCGCAGGTTCAGCGGCAGACCCGCCGACAGACGCCTTGCCGCTGCTGTGCGGGGCTCTGCGGCTTGCCTCGTGTTCGGCTTCGACAGCTGCCTAATGCAATGTAACTCGGCAGATAGGATAAATCAGACCGATGACATTGTATTAGATCTGAAAGATGAGAGCTCTTGCAGAGCGATTGCACAGTGTATCTTTCAGGGCTGTTGACTCCAGGAGGTTATTGAAGTCAAAAGTCTTTGCGACAAAACCAGCCTCTCAGAAGAGATTGGGTAGCAGGGAAGCAGAGTCATGTTTCTTTCCTCCAAAGAAAATGACTTAGGAAAAGGTGGAATTCTCCTTTGTGTATTTGTTTTACACAGATGTGGGGTTTAATCTCATTTTTTATTATGTCACCAGCTTAGGTATTTGCTTTTTAAAAATATATATGTATATCTCATGTGCAAATGTATATTAATCAGGAGAGATGGATTTTTCAGTTTCAGGATATTTTTATCTGTTGCTGAATTGTCCCTAGTGCAAATGCCTACAACTAACTGCAACAGATTTCTCAGTCCCATTTGCAACTTTATGTCAGTAAATGATTATTTACCCACTGTGACCTCAGTGTAGAAATTTTTATTACAGTGATATGATTACTTTCTAACATTCTAAAACCTTGTACTTTCCATTTGGTAGAGTAATGTCATGAGTTTGACTTAGGGATGGGAGATGTACTGAAAGCTCGTAACCTCCCTCCTCCTTCCGCAGCCCACCGTGTGTGAGCGCGAGCTGTGTGTGTTCGCCTTCCAGACCCTGGGAGTGATGAACGAAGCTGCTGATGAAATAGCGACCGGCGCGCAGGTACTCACCCAGGACACCGGCCCCTCCTTGTTTTGATTTGAAAGATTGATTCTGATCCACTAGTTATCTCCACTCTGCTCCTTGGGCAAATTTTTGAGAGTGTATTTTTAAAGCACACTGGCATTTGATATATTTTAGGTATAAACTGAATTTTTCTATCTTCATCTCGTGTGTGTTTTGTTATTTTGCGGTTGCCGGGGGCAAGAACTAGACCAGCTTTCTATTGGGTGGGAAGTAGTTGCCATTCTTGCTCATGTGGCGCAGCTGGGATACTGAAGCCCGGTATCCTGCAGTATTTAAAATTTATTGTGAGGTTGCAGTGCCATAAGATGGAAGCCAATTTATTTTTTAAATTTAGATGAGAAGATAATGGGCCACGCATCCCATATAAAGCGAGCGTTCAGTTTTACAGTGCAGTGTTTATGATAGAAGAAGCAAAATATTTTAAAAAAACAATATGGAGGTAGAGAAGCATGCCATGCTTCTGGAAAGGAAAAAACGAATTATAAAGATGCCAAAATGTATTACTTTGTGGAATTCTATCAAAATTTCAATTGGTTTCTTTTCTTTTCTTTTCTTTTCTTTTTTTTTAATTTATGGAGCCTAACCAAATGGCTAATACAACCTAGAAGGAAAAAGAGGAATTTTTTTTTAACTTAATGAATGGAGGCTAGGCCATCTATATACAAAAACATGCCATGCAATCCTGTAATATTTTAACAAAGTAAAGTAGTGGCAAGGAATAGAATGGCAGATTATCTGCAAAGTACATCGAGTTATAAATATAGTTAACATATGTTAAAGGAGGTAGCACAGCAAGTTGCAAAATACTAACAATTCAGTAAGTGAGGGCGAAAGAGATGGCCTGCAGCCTGGGGAAAATCAGTTTAGCCCTTGATTTTGGCCTATGTGTAAAACCAAATTCCCCGTGGCTTGAAGATTAGTTTATTTAAAAGTATTGTATGAAAATTAGGCAGCACAGCAGTTTATGCATTTATGCAGTGGTACCCCAAAAGGGAAAGGAGTCCATTCCTGCTTCATAGTTTTTAAGATTTAACTATTTTCCTAGAGACATGAGAAGGGAGGGAAAGAGACATCACGTGCGAGAGAAACATCAATCAGATGCACATATGCCCTGACAAGGGACAGAACCTGCAACCTAGGCATGTGCCCGAACCAGGAACTGAACTGACATTTTGCTTTGTGAGATGATGCCCAACCAGCCAAGCCATGCTGGTCAGGGCCATACTTCATAGTTTTTATTTGAGGAGTTAGTGAACCTTTAAGAGCTAAATATGAACAAGTTTTGCTCTAGCTGGTGTGGCTCAGTTGGTTGGAGCATCGTCCTGTAAACCGAAAGGTCACAGGTTCGATTCCCGCTCAGGCCACATGCCTAGGTTATGGGTTTGGTCCCAGGTCGGGATGCATGCCAGAGGAAACAGATGGATGTTCCTCTCTCGCTTCTATGTTTCTCTCCCTCTCTCTCTTCTTCCCTTCCCCTCTTTCTAAAATCAATAAGCATTTTCTCGGGTGAGAATAAAAAGAAAAAAGGAAAGTTTCTTGGCTACAAAGCTAATTACATGAAAGTTCATAAAAACTGAGAAAACTATGAAGACATCATAACACATTAATGGATGAAATGAATTCATGATTCACAAATATGGATCTATAGATAGTAAAGAAACATGAGAAAATAGCTTCACTAAAAATTGTATCAACCTGTTTATAAAATTCACAAAAATGGGTGGGAAAAAGGGTCATGCAACAGACATGTTGCCATTCTTTCCATAAGTTGGAAGGCCTAATGTGTAACACACAGGCGTCCCAGCAGGTGAGGGTACACAGCCAATATAGTTAGCCCAGGCCAAGGGTTTATGCCCAGTCCCTTAACCTAGTTCTCTGCTGGTTAAACTCATATGATGAAATACTAAGGACAGTATTTGTGATATAATGAATTATAAGTGAAAAGTAATACAAACACAGTAGAACACTGATCCTATGTGATGTGGGAAAAAATGATTCCATGATTAAAGTAAAATTCAGATATAAAACTTGGTATTGCCCTACACCCAAGACACTCATATCTATAAATCAAAGGCTGTGAAAATTTCTAAAACAAAGAAAATAACTAGTGTCTACTTAGAGGGTTTATCAGATATGTCTGACCATGGTGGGTCTTTTTCTTTCTTTTTTTAAATGTGAAAGTTTTTTGCATCCCTTGGAATGAATATTGCTCAAAAATCCTACCACTTTAATGTGTGCTATTTATAGCTATGTGAAAATAAACTTTACACATATGTGTGCAAATATACATACATGTATATTTACATTGCTATATGTATGTATTTATGTGTGTATACATATATATAAAATAAACTCTTCAAGTAATACAGTTAACATTGTGCATTTTACTGAATGTAAACTGACCCTGAAACAATTTGAAAAGGCAAGGAATTCATTAAAGCCTAAAAATAGGAAGTGATTGGTTAGGAAGAAAATTGACATCATGCTAACAGTAGGATAGGTTGATAGAATAGCAGGTGCATTTTCTTGTATTATTAAAGGTACACCTCTAAAAATAATGGTTCTTAAAGAGAAATGAAGTTTGGCTCATATAATGATTGTTACAAAGCACAAGTACTCGATCAGATCAAATTAGTGATTCAACTCCTAAACATCAGTATCCAGAAATCAGAGAACTTAGTGTTCCTACTCCAAAGTGAAATATTCTTTCCACTTCTTTAAAGCAGGCGCCCCTTTATTCTGGTTATAACTCTAAAGATCACATGGGAGCTGATGGCTTTTCCAGACAGAAGGGAATTCTCTCTAAGGAGCCGACTCCTGGATATTTCACGGCATGCCCTACAGAACAGCACCTCATATTCTTTACATACGGGGGTCTCAAACAAGACTCTTTGAACAAAAGAAAAGGAGTCATAGTTGAAATGTTTGAAGGTCCCCAGCCCACAAACTTTCCATATCTGTAGGGACCCCTGTATGTGCCTTTCTTACCAACCTGCACTTGACTTTCTCACAGGCAAGATCTCTGAGCCCCTTCACACCCATGTGCATCTGGGTGGAGGGGAGGCGGGAGGGCGGGGGTGCGGACCCTGCTCCAGCGGGTGAATTATATGTAATGTCGCCTGGAGACACGTGGCTCTGTTAGCTTGCAGGCCTTTTAGTCCTGTTCATCAAATGGCCTGATGTGATTCCCATTGCTTGAATTTAATATTTCTTGGCACTTCTATTCTGAGTGTCTTCGCCAACCTCCAAATTGCCTCTTCAGTTTTCTTATTCAGCCTAAGAAGAAAGGTATCTAACTTGCTGGCTGTAACACTCACCTTCTGTGCTAAGATCCTAGCCAGAGTCTTGAATTTTAAATGCTGGGAGTGGGGAAATACATGATTTTGGGTAAAAGAAATCCCAGTCGTGTGTTACCTTGAGTTTTTCAAAGTGGACCGTTTACTCCATGGAAAAGATACCGTAAGCAAGCGCTGTCCGTCACTGCCTTCGTCTCCAGCACCTGCTTTATTTTTTATAGCTTTCAACACGACCAATAACTCTATTTAAGCATCTGTTTGTTTTACTGATTTTTTTTATTATGCGTTCTCTTCATTGTAATGTCAGTTCTATGAGAGCAAGGACTTGTTTCTTTAGCTCCTTGTCATAGACACTAGATCAATGTTAGAACATAATATACGAGGCCTGTCCGGAAAAAGTCCAGCCATTGTTAATATAATGAGGATGGTTTGCATGACATCGATGTAACCTGGCAGCCAATGAGAGTGGACTGGAATGCACATGCGTGAGCAATGAAGACTTCACTGTGCTAGTCAGTGGGCGCAGGAGACGCCGTTGAGTGAGCATGTGTACTGCGTGGCCATCGCTTTCAAAATGATTGAGTAGAGCAAGGAATCTGCATCAAATTTTTCATTAACCTTGAATGTTCCTTTGCAAAAACTATTTGGATGATTCAGAAAGCCGCAGCTGTGGGCTGCTTGATTGGCAGGTTCATCACGACAGCGTGCCCACTTATGCATCATGTCTCATGCAGAATTTTTTGGCAAAACATTAAATCCCCCAGGTGACTCAGCCCCTCTACAGCCCAGATTTGGTGCCCTTCAGTTTCTGGCTTTTCCCACAACTAAAATCACCTTTGAAAGGGAACAGATTTTAGACTGTCAATGAAATTCAGGAAAATACAACGCCGCAGCTGATGGTGATTTGGAGAACTGTATGAAGTCCCAAGGTGCCTACATTGAAGGGGACTGAGGCGTCATTGTCTTATGTACAATGTTTTTTGTATCTTGTATCTTCAATAAATGTCTCTATTTTTCATAGTACATGGCTGGATACCTTCCGGACAGACCTCGTATGTCCATGACAAAGAGATGTTAGGACGTGAGTAATTGGAAGCAACATGTAATACATACTTACTGGTCAAGTTTAGTCTAGCGTCACAAAGGGCAGATCTGAGAGGTTCGTCACAATCCTGAGTCTTTCCTAATTAATTGCCATGAGAGGGAGAAACAGTGGCCAGGGCCTGGAGAGAAACCGGAAGGATGGTGACTGTCTTCTGTGTGCATTTCAAGGTGGTGGACCTACTGGTGTCCATGTGCAGGTCTGCGTTGGAATCGCCTAGAAAAGTTGTCATTTTCGAGCCGTACCCCTCTGTGGTCGACCCTAACGACCCTCAGATGCTGGCCTTCAACCCCAGGGTAAGAAGTCCCCGTGCACCGCCCGCCCGCCCGCCCCCTCCAGCCACAGTGCCGCCCGCTTTCCCTCTGCACTGCTGACCTATCCTACCCACTCACAAGTGTCGGGGACTCTGTCCGTTTCATACGGTGGGTCCTTCGTCTCTTGGCTTCACACTGCGTTAGCTTCCGCCTCTGTCCTCCACGTGTCCTGTTACTTCCCCTGTCCTTTCATCCTTCTAGAACTTCATGAAACTAGGCCCCTTTAATTCTCCCACATTCTAATCTTATGCATCCCACCTGCAGGGAAGGTGGGGGAAGAGCTGTAATGATTGGTTGACAGTGATAATGGTTAATATGAGTATGTTAATTTCATTACCTATTTTTTTTGAGCTTCTATCTTATATAACTACCTATAAGAATCATGTATAAAAAAGGACAGATTTCTCTTTTTCTGTGGTATTTTTGATCACCCCTCTGGTTATCTGAAGGTTAGTGATAGTTCAGTTCATGTTGTCAATTAGCTGGCATTTCTTGAGAAAATAGTTTCATAAATGTTAATGGCTATTAGGCAGAGTTGTTCTGAAGTAACAGACATTTCAAATGCAGGATAGCTAAAATTGCCCTAATTCTTATTAATATTCATCTTGAAAGCATTTTCTAGAAACAACGACCATATAAAAATTCCTTGGAAAGACTTCCGGTTCTTATAAGTGGTCTAGTGCACCCATTACATATTAGCATTATACTTAAAAATGGATTATCAATTAGGTGTATGGTGTTAAAAATTTACACACCTACCAGTCATCTTCTTTGGGTAACAATTGTCCGATTAAATGGAAATAAAAGCAAAATAAAGGTGTAAGACTTAACGTGGATTTTCCTACTTTAGTAGGGTTTCGTGCTTGCTTTATTCATTGTACCTTAATTTTTTAGTGGTGAAAGGCAGAATCAGGAACCCAGCATCTTTCCCTTGTGTGCAGCTTTTCCCCTATAGGCTGGACCTGATTTGATGTGCTTCATTAGGACTGGCATTGTTTTCTTTCCTTCCTCCCTCCAACTTGGTTATAAATCCTATGTCCTTGAACCATCTTATTAAAGTCTTCCCCCTGTGCACACACCACGGGCGTTGCTCTCAGATGGACTCTGATAGAAAATTCATGTACAGAAATAACATGTTTCTCTAGTAATGTGCAGATTACTAGATTTGCAACATATATATAACCTTTTGTTGTTCAAACAGAAGAAGAATTACGACCGAGTGATGAAAGCCCTGGACAGCATAACTTCTATTAGAGAAATGACACAAGTAAGTACGTCATCCGTGGTCTGGACATTTCCATCTGGCTTGAGTAAAATCATATTTGAAAAACATCTGAGGAGAGAAAAATGCCTGAGCGTACTGGCCATGGAGCGAAGCGCAGACTTTCCTGTTACATGGGAGTCTAGTTAAAATCATAAAACCATTAAAGTGGTGCTGTACTAAGAGGTTTAATGAGCGTACATCAGTGTGTTGGCATGTACCGCAGTGGCATTTGGGGGCGATAGCATAATCACAGTCGCAGTGGTCTGCTCTCAAGTTCAAGGCAGCCCTGCAGTGCGTGGCAGTGTGTCGGGCCATCGTAAGGCGAAGCTTTAAGGCAGGTACCGTCTTCCTAGACTGTCAATTTTAATTAGTGGTAATCATTTTTAAAATACCATTTTAATGTTACACTAAAAGCCAATATTTTTATCAAACCTAAATTGCACGTAAATATTTTAGATATAATACAGAATCTCAAAAAACCTTGGGAAGACACCAGGCCCACCCCTGGGAGTACGAGCGGCTCTTTCTGGCCTTCGGGGGGAGGCCATGATGGAGAGTTTAATGAGCAGGAGTCAGGCCTCGTTATGAAATCCGACACGTTGCTCTGCTGTATATAGCCCAGCACTTGGACAAACACATGCTCTTGGATGGTTGGGCCCTTTCCACTGCTAAGGTTTTGGAGAGAGGTTTAAAATTCATCATTTTATTTTATTTCATTTTATTATTTTACTTTATTTTTAGAGAGAGAAGACGAGAGAGACAAACACTGATTTTTGTTGTTCCACTTATTCACGCATTCACTGGTGGCTTCTTGTATGTTCCCTCATCAAGGACTGAACCCGCAATCTTGGTGTATCGGGACAACGCTCTAACCAACTGAGCCACCCGGCCAGGGCCTAAAACTCATCATTTTACATAGAAATGAATCATTTCAAATTGACAGCCACACGTGTTCTAGAAGGCGGGGTCATGGCCCTTGCAGGCTGATAAGGAGTGGTATTCCCCCGGGTCATTTCCTCCCTCTGGGATGGGAATCGAAGATTCTCCTCTCATCTGGGAGGACACAAAGCCTTTGCTCCACTGTCTCCACTTCCCCTGCCACCATCTGTATTCTATCTGAAAATGTTTCAGAAGTCCAGTTTTACATTCCCAACTTTGATTCTTGACTCTCTCGATCCTGATTTATACATGTAGTCAAATGCTCATTCATTCATTCACAAAGAGTCTGTGTCAACATTGGTAACCTAGAGCCTTTAATTCGCAAGCTACATTATTTGCTTACTCGACATCCTTTTCGGTTGTTTTCCCATGCCTGTACCTTTTTGTATTGTGAATCTTTTCAAACAAACATTATATTTGTATAAGGAAAAGAAAACCATAAAGTGCATTTCCACTTAGGGGGAAAAAAGAACCTGTTCACTATTTGATACAGAGTTAAGTAAACAGTTTTAGTCCCCAGAGGCTTTGGTGTGGGATGTTTATACTCCGCCCTACATCCAGGTCATCTCGGATTAAAAATAGCTACGCCCCTGGCCCCAGGATCCGCTCTCTGGAAAAACCTTCATTTATTCTGGCCTTGTGGGAGCTCCCACGGCGGAGGCGCTGGAGGCGACAGTGGCGGCCGAGGGCGTTGGGGCTCCAGTTGTCGAACTTGCCCGTCAGTGATGATGTGTCCTGTGACCTTGGGCCAGTCACTTCATCCCTGATGCCTCTGTTTTCTTCACTGTCAAGGTGGTGACCAATAACTAACCTTTCCGTGCGCATTCCATCGGGATGCTCTCCGGTTTCATTTGTCAGATTCCTTAAACCTCTCCAAATAAATATCACAGGATACTGTGCTATTTCTAGAATGCTCTGCCCTATAGATAGGCCTGAAGTGTCACAGACAGGTTGCCCCTGGTTCTATGAAAAGGTAAATAAATGCCAGTAAGTACTTTTACAAGAAGGGCTGTTACGTAAATTTCGTCCCATTGTTTTCCAATGTAAAGAGCTATACCTCAGTCCGTACGTCACATATGAGCATGGTTGTAGCTATGACAGGTTTTGCTTTCATATTAGTTAAAAGTTAAGAGCAGTCATTATCAAAGAGAAACAGCGTGGGACAGTTGTTGAAAGCAGCAAGCCAGGTTTCCTTGGGAAGGCTGTGTATGAACTGAGCCCATGCGCAGCTAAGACAAAGTGACTGACCTTTTTAAAGGGGACAGAGGAACAAAAGGCGCTGTGGCAAAGTGGAAATAGGGCTGGGGGGTAGTGTATGGAAAATTACGAAAGGGTTAATTAAAGGGAGAATTACTGGAAGGTTAGGGCCTGTTGGTTGGTACAACGCACCTTTCACCGGTTGGCAGCACCACGCTTCCCTGAGTGAACAGTCAGCAGGGGGCCCGTGATCTCCTTTAGGGGCACGCCCAGTGCCTGAAACCAGGGTAAAGTCTCTGCAGAATGTTCGGGTCAGCCATTCGTGCCTCGGGAAGGTTCTGAGCTCACGCCATCTCGCGGGGAGGGAGCCACTAGGTAACCATTGCTGTTACCTGGTCGAGGCCACAGCTTTTCCAGTTTCGCTAGATCTAGGCATACCTGCCTGTTCAGCCTACTTTTCCTTTTGCAAAAAGACCAGGGCGGAGCGGGGAGGAAAAGGGGAATTTTTACGAAAAGTCAAGCAGTATAATGACTTTTTTTCAGGCACCGTATCTGGAAATCAAGAAGCAGATGGATAAACAAGACCCCCTGGCTCATCCCCTGCTGCAATGGTATAAAATTTTAGTTTTTGTCTTCATGAAAACAGCACTGTTTCCTACTGCCTGCTCTAGGAAAGGGGCAAAACCTGTTTCACAGAACCTGTGACGCCGCCGCCCCACGGCCTCTGAGGCCTGCTGGCCTGCGCTCCAGGCGGCGCAACGCCGCTCCCTTTACTGACAGCTCGTACATCATGCAGGGAGGGAACCGCTGTCACATGCACTGCGTGGGGAGGCAGTGCACGTGACATCTGTCTGTCTCCAGTTTCAAGAAAAGGCCATTAGCTGGGTTACCTGGTGAAGCACTTTTTGGTTTATTTAATTTTCTAGTTAACCGAGGACTAAGTGATAAAACTCACTTATTATTGAGCATCTGTCTGAAATGTACGTTTTGTGTAACTTGCTCCCTTCCCAGGGACGGTATAAATCAATAAACTCCCTGTCTGATGCTGCAGGTCGGGCGGCGGTTCCCAGCGAGCCGGTCAGGGACACAGATCCGTCCGGCGTGGCCCCCTGGGGGAGGCCCGGCCAAGGCTGGGCGGGCGCGTGTAGACTCGCCTTGCACGGCGCAGTGCCATTCAGATACGTGCACTCTAGTGGCTCGTTTCTGAAATGAGAGCAATAGCACCTCCTCACCATCCCCGTAAGGGTTTTATGTACGTGTCTTTTTGAAACCACTGAAAACTCAGACTGTGGAATTTATCACAGTTCTCAGGCAGTAATGCAAACGTGAAGATCCTAAGAGGCTGGTATGAATAGCATTCCTTGCTAGAGCCAGGAAGTTTTTGCAAATTAGGTAAAGACGGGCAAAGGGGAAGGACCCTGGACACCTCGTGATTCTGATTACTTTCATTGAGTCAAAATTTCACAGTACACATTTAATTTAGTCTGATAAGACTGACAAAAATTAGGTTTAGAAATGTTCTTTCTTTGAATGTTTTAGGACCTATTTTTAAAATTCTCGCTTTAAGCCATATTCAAAATGAAGGTCCAGCTCGGGTGGCTCGTCTGCTATTTCCCTGAAGGCAGCCTGATCAGTAACCTTTCCGTTGTGACCCTCTCTTCTTCCGTTTGTTAGTCACGCTGCTTTTAAGGAAAAAAAAAATCTTCTTCGAAAATCTTTTAGCATTTTCCCTGCTTATTGTTCTGTATACATGAAACAATTCTTTCAGATATCTGAATTTAATTTTTTTTCAACTTCAGCGTGTAAATATGTTGAATAACAGCATGTGTGTAAACCATTGTATATATGAGCCCAAAGAGATTCTCAAATATTGAAAGAAAAATCTTCACTAAAATCTCACTGTGGTTAGGTGATAGAGGGAGGGGCAGAGCAGCAGTCGTACGAGCCAATTTCTGGTCTTTGTAATGTGTAGATTATCATTATTTGAAAGTATATTCAGAGGTGCTCATTTTGTTGATTTTTGAGATTGTGATTATTAAAAATTACATCTTAACTTTCAAAGAAGAAAAGATTAAAATGGCACGTCTCAGATTAAAGTAAGATTTTGTTACATAAGCTCTTTAAGTTGTTTCAGGAAGTGAAACAAAATAAGGTTATTAAAATTACCACTCAGTTTAGTTTATGCCACAGTAAAATGAAGTTTCAGTCACTTGCCAACTAAGGAATAAAACTTTACATTTTACAAATGTTTTTGACTGATGGATTATTTTAATCAATTTCAGGGTTATTTCAAGTAATAGGTCACATATTGTGAAACTGCCAGTTAACAGGGTAAGTTGTTTTTTCACATATACACGTGGGAGTGGGAGGAGCCCTTGTTGGCTGTGAGCCCTGTGATTTTACAGCAGCCTGTCCAGGAAGCTGAAGTACACTCAGGTTAAGGCTAATTCTTCAGTTTGAAATTGCCATATCTGCAGCATTTTCAAGCTTTTCCCAGGTTTCCAATTCAAGTTCAGGCTGTTGTCCTGACCTTTTAAATAAATCAGAGTCACTATGAGATAGTTATACCAAAGGGCATAGAGAGATGATTTTCTAGGGATTGACCAGAACAAGAGTAATATGCCTCTTACATTGTCAGGTTCTGTTGGCACAGTTCTACTTTTCCAAATCGGAGGAGACGGTGCCTCCAGATAGGGGACCGATGAGCCCGATGCTCTCACAGAACAGTGAGAAAGCCCAGTGGGCTCTGACGTCAGTTCTCAGTGCCACCTGAGAACCCTCAGCCCTCCCGCCTCTGCATCTCCCACCCGAGAGTGTCCTCTGCTGTGTTCCTATATAAGTGTGCCCCGAGGTGGGAGGGCAGCAATGAGAAACTTTGGTCAAGCAACTTTTCCAAAAGGTTCTGTTTTAATTTCTCTCTCTGAACAAAGTGGGAAACAGTATTTGAATGTAGGCAATTTCCAATTTTACAAATACTGGGTTGGCCGAAAAGTCCGTATGTTTTTTTCTGTAAAATAAAAGACATATTGTTCCTTTTCACCAATAACTTGATTGATTTGGATATTTCGAATATGTCAGCCATCTCCTGCATGGTATATAACGTTGACTCTTCTCAACTAATGTTTTGATTTGATTATCAACTTCAACTGGTCTACCCAACTGCGGAGCATCGTCCTGCGAGAAATCTCCAGCACAAAACCTCACAGACCCCTTTTGGCACATTCGATCAGTCATAGCGCCTTCGCCATACATGGCAGAAATCTTTTTTTTTTTTTTTCATTTCAGTTGCATTTTTACCTTTCTAGAAGTAATAAAGCATAATATGCTGAAAATACTGCGTATCTTCTTCCATCTTCAATATTAAAGTGGCTGCACAAAAATTCACCAATATAATGTTTTTTTTAAACACACACTGATACGACAGCTGCCACAATACAATCTAACAAAGACAACTAAGTGCAATTAGAGCCATTGTATGGGAAAAAAACAAATGAACTTTTTGGCCAGCCCAATGTATGGAAATAGAGCATGATGGTGATGATCTTTGCAGTTTAAAACTCTTGGACTAAATTTTTTGCTTAGCAAACTCTCAGACCATTTCTCCAGTTGAATAGCTAGCGTATGCTTAGAAATTCAATCATAAAACTCAAAGGAAGAAATGTAATTAGGAAGACAGATCCTGAACGTGGTCACATAGTTTATTCCAAAGCTAAATATAAATGAGTTTGGATTGTCAGTCTCCTATTTATTTTCTGTTAGCAAAAGATTTATCCTTCATACCAGCAACCCTGATTTATCATTTATACAGGGCTTTTTTGTTTTTTAATGAATGGTGTCATTAATGTGATTAGCCTAAAGTTATTATGGTTGAAGCTAGGTAATTCTTAAACTAGTAAAATTTGAACTTGTCAGCAGCCTGATTATATGTTAAATTGAACATTTCCTGTTTGTCTCTATTTTCAATGGCAGCAACTGAAGTTCATGCATACTCCACATCAGTTCCTGCTTCTCAGCAGTCCACCAGCCAAAGAATCCAACTTCAGAGCTGCTAAAAAACACTTCGGAAGTACCTTTGCCTTTCAGTGAGTGGGACTTCGTGTTGGTAGGGGTGTCTCGCCTTCAGTCCTCAAAAATGTGGGGGGAGGAGGACCTTCCCTTTTCATAATTTGCTGTAGCTGACACCGAACACTCAGCTACGTAATGCTTGACCTGGAAACTCAGAACTTCCAGGAGGCGCCGTGACTTGTTATGTTTGTTATTATGATGTATCACTGCTGTTTCAAAGATGGTTGACCTCTGGCTCCGCTTTTCCCTCCCGCTCGGTTCCAGTGGCTCGCACATCGAGAACTGGCACTCCATCCTGAGGAATGGCCTGGTGGTCGCTTCCAACACGAGGCTGCAGGTGATTTTTCTGAACGCTTTACGGGGCCCTCCTTACTCTTTGGTCCCGGAGTTCTGGAAGCATACCTGGCATTGTGTTTTACCTGTAAAAGAGGAAGTATTTGGAGTTTTAAAATTACATGCCATTTTTAGTAGGATACGTCGTTTTCACAAAGTAACTGAAGCAGAATCGACCTATCCACAATCAAGGGATGAAAAGAGAAGGTTGACCTGCCTATTGCAAAATGGAAAAATCCCTATGAACTTCAGCAGAAAAAAATGATCCAGCAAAAAGGAAACCCTGCAAGCGTTCTCTCTTGCGAGTAGGACATTGAACACACATTGTTGAGAACCGCTTCAGGGTGGAGACTTTTAAGGGTAGAAAAAGGCGGGGCTGACAATAGGAAGGTAGATATGGGTCACCAAAGGGCCTTCTGGTACCAGCTGCACAGACTCCAGGGCAGCACCTGGAGTCACAGCGCGTCACCGCCCAGTCACCTTCACCTCCACTTACGCCCTTCACGCCCTCCATCCCCCCTCACTGCTGTGCAGCCGAGTTCCGCCTGATGATGTACGGAAGTCACTGTGCTGGATCTCACGTGCTGATGGAGACTCAATTAACTGTAAATGTTCACAACTTCAGTTCATACCGAAGAAGGTACAAGGGCCCTAGAGCGTAGAATAGGAGAATTCCAGTTGTTCTGAGTCGTTTCTCAGACCAGGGAAGAGTTCCAGATAATGAAACTTGTAACTTGAAAAATTTAGAAGCTAACAGTGGGATGGCCCTGTTGTATAATGCAGATCTGAGTAGGACACTTTATTGACTGACTAGTGTGTGACTTATGTTTCCGCCTGTTCTGTTTTTGGAATGTTAGGCTCATTAACACAAAAGCCTACCACAGTACTGTATAATAAGTGACTCTCGTTGTCATTGCTGGGTGGAAAGAACTTTCTCTCTATCATTTTTCATATATCAACTTAACTTAGCGTGTTAAGGACAAGGATGCCAGTACTGCTATTTTCAAGTCAGACTTTGCGATAAAATCTTTATCACTTTCTGACAGTTAATGCTTCCCCATGAGGTTGATTGTCACCTTCTATCAAATATTAACCTGTGAAACCACTGACTGATGCTTTGCCTCCCCCCACTTCCCATTTTAGCTCCACGGTGCAATGTACGGAAGTGGAATCTATCTAAGTCCAATGTCAAGCATATCATTTGGTTACTCAGGTAAGCTGGTATTTCATTTCTAACCCCACATTTATTAGGGTTTTATTTCTTTAGATGCCAGCCATAATTTTCCATCAAGGGACTGAAGCTTGTTTGACATATTTGTGTTAAATATTTTGATAAATGTCAAAAGCAAACCAAAACTCACATTTCAAGATGTGTTTATAACAGTCCCCTTAGTGTCCAAAAAGGATATGTGTTTGGTGAATTTCAAAGTCAATTTTAAGTTTGTTTCAATAGTTTCTATACAGATTCTGTCCACAAGTAAATGCTAATAAGTATTCATACATATTACGTCACTGTCATTGAGTGTAATTCTGTATCTTGCCAACTTCATCTTTGAATTATTATATATCCCACCTAGAAGTTTGAAACAGTATGGAAATTTTAGGATTAGAAAAACACCGTTAACATCATCCTACTTATTGGCAACTTGTTATTAATATTTTAAAGAAGTTGTGTGGAAACAAACCGTTTTAGAATTGATTGAAAGCCATGTGCTGGGGAGCACGGTAAATTCAAATATGGAAGGGGCGGCCGCTGAGTTAGCAGTTATTACTCTCAGAGAGTGGAATTTCGGACAATTTCTTCTTTATATTTTTTATTTTTTGGACTGTTTTACAATGATCAGTATAACCTTTTAAAATATTCTGATTCATTCTGTTTAAGTAGAAAGTAATTAGTAACATGAAACTTCTTCCTCCTTTTCTACAACTTGGTGTTCAGTGGGTTTCCTGTTAGACCTTTAAGTGCTTTTATATCCACGTACTTGCATATGTAGTTGGTTTGCCTTGTGTGCTCGTGTGTGTGTGTGTGTGTGTGTGTGTGTGTGTGTGTGTATCTGATCACATGAAACACTTCAGGAGCGGCGTTCATGTGAACAGGGTACCTAGGGGGCCCCATAGCTAGGTGTTAGGTGGCCAGGCCTGCCGGCCTGCCTCATTCCTTTGCCGTTGCAGCGATCTCTGAAAGTACAGGATGCCAAAGAAACACTGTGAAAGTAAATAACATTAGGAAGAAGAAGATAACATAGGAAATAGAATGTCCTGGTTCACTGGAGAAAACAATTAAAATCAGCATAAATCAGACTCTTAAGTCTTATTAAAACAGAACACAATAAAAAACTAATATAAAACCACTTCAAAATAAAAACATCCTCAGGATAGATACGGAAACCACAGCAAATCACCAGGTACTTTGATTTTGTGCTTCTGAAACTGGTGTGTAGCCTCCTTAGACAGGCTCACAGAGAGGATTATGGGGGACACAAATGGATGTAAAATTTGCCAGGACGCCCATGGGCCTGGACGGAGGGTCCACAGGCGTCATCCAACCCTTGCTGGGTCTTTGATCACAAAACAACGGAAAAGCCTCTACAGCGAGATGTGGTTCCTCACTGGTTTCTGATAGGCTTGTCCTTCTCCGTAAGACTTCTGTTAAAACCACCACTGAAAAACGTGAACAGGCCCCTTGCCTTCAGAACCAGCAGCGGATGAACCTTTTCACATAGACTATAGCTACAAATCTATCGAGCCCAAAACACATGGAGATTTTAGTTCTGTTCTGTCTAAAATATCTCACAGTAAAGAATCATGGCATTAATAGGAAAAGTAAGACTAAGACTTTGAGCATCACAGACAAAAGGACGCACATGTTTCTTTATTAGGAGAAGTAGTAAATTCCATATGGTATCGAGCATATATCAACCACTCATGCAGTTAAGTTACAGCGTAAATATTTTTTATATTCATATTTCCTACCCCTTTTCTTCTCCTTCTACTAGCCAGATGGTAAGAATAAAAGAGCTGGCCTGAAAGCCCTTTACAACCAAGTTTTGGGAATTTTCTTATTATGTTAATTTTATCCAAGAGAATATCCTACTCCCGTTTGCACGCAAAGAAGCGCAAATGGGCCGTCTGCTTGCTGCCGCCAGCAGGACTTCTGGAGCCCGCCGACTCTCTGCCCCGTACCCAGGGCTCGGCAGCTGCCCCTCTGAGAGGCCGTCTGGGGCCTGACGCAACCTCTGCCGAAAGTGCAACTCGGCCGTGTAGATGGATTGTATTTCGAGCCGCCTCATACAGCCTTGATCCTAAGTCATTGTCTCGCTGCTGTTTTCAGGGATGAACAAGAAGCAGAAGGTGTCGGCCAAGGACGAGCCGGCCTCCAGCAGTAAAAGCAGCAGTGCATCCCAGGTGGGGCAGCCACGCGAGGACGGCTCCTACTGTATGCGGGGCCCTTTAAGTCCGAAGAGTTATTTTAAGTGGTCATTAGTCATGAGGAAATAAAACCCACCCTAAAGTGTAATATCTAAAATGCCCCGATTCAGTAACTATTCAGCAAGTATTTATTGAGCTCCTACTGTAATGCCGGAGACTCTCCAGGACATAAGTAAGAATCAATCCTAATCTTGGAGCCTGCATTCTACTGAGTGGATAAGTGAACTAAGTAAACTAAATACACGTTTAATATAAATAAACTGAATGTGTCTTTTGGTAGATAGAATGCAAGATGGTGGTAAATATTACAGAGGAAAACCAGGGAAGGAGAAGGTTGGAAGCTGTGGGGAGGGAGGGGGACGGGAAGGAGCGTTGGCGTGTGGTCAGCAAAGGGCGCCCCGGAAGGCTCGCGTAAACGCTGTTGGAATGACGGTCTGCAGGTGGTGCGTGCACCTGCCGTTTGGTTCTCTGGGGGGAAAGGGCATCGCAGGCAGAGAGCAGAGCGAGTACCAATCCCGTGTTTCAAAGGAAACAAACATTCTGGACAAAGTGAAATCCACCCAATGAATAATGTGACTTTAAATTTTAAAAAAATTTTTAAGAAGTATAGCTCATGTAATGACTAAAAACCCCACATTTTCCACATGAGGTTTATCTGAATCTCTGTGGCTTAATGAGGCTAGAAAAACGGGTTGATTTTGCATGGTTAGGCGATCTGGAATAATTGAGTTTAATGTTTGAAAGGATTAGGCTACTTTAATGTTGTTTCCCATGTAGTAAAGATTCCAGGCTTCCAGTAAAAATACATTTGAGTTCTAACTCTGTGTTGTGAGGCCATTGAACTGGAATTTAGCATTTTTTAGTTCACTTACTTTGAAAGTGATTTAATAATGATTATGTACAGAATTAAATGATACAGCAAATATAATTTGCTGTTAGGAGAGAGTTCAAGGATATTGCTGCTAGTGTCTGTAGGCCTTTTATTAAAAAAAAAAATTGGAGCTATCTTAGTGACGGTTATTTTTTAACAATGATCAATTTAGTGACTGCCCCATTTTCTCTCTAATTCTTTCATTCTCTTGGAATTTAGTCACAGAAAAAAGGACAGCAATCCCAGTTCCTGCAAAGCCGTAACTTAAAATGCATAGCCTTATGCGAAGGTAAGGCGTCGTTTCTGCAAACCTTATGTCATTAGCTCTCTGTCTCCTCCGCGTTTAAGACTGTGAATACCGTTGCCGAATGCTCACGATAGAATAGTGAGAGCGTTGCTCCTTATGACCATCTCTAAGGGCACAAATGGAAAACAGGGCCAACGGAGGTCGTAAACGGTGAAACCAAGCAGAGTTGGCAACAAGGCAGACGGAGCTGGATTTCATTCTTGGCAGAGATTTCAGAGTGGCGAGTGTATCTTTCTGATCAAGCATTGCTTATCTCTCTTGTTAATACGCCACCTTCCTCTTTTAGTTGGTTTTTGAATGGATAATATGAAAAATTTTAAAGACGAACGAAGCACTGAAAAGATAACCCCTAGACCTTTCTGTTCCTGTACTGAAATTATTTTCCTATTATGAACTTGGGACAGAAAAATTAATACAGGTAATTTGCAAGATCATATACTTTTCTTTGTTCTTGCTTTAAAATCTACTTTTGGCCAAAAAAAAAAAAATAATTCTGACTTTGGCTACAATTTCATTCTTGTGTTGGGAGTTTTGGTAGCCGCTGTTAACTGTCTTGGAAATTTTCGCCACTTGATAGTTACATAGGGCACCGCGTGACTTCCAGCCTGTTGTTACCTGAGTGCTAAATGGCGTCTCCTCATTTTTATTTATGTTTCTTGAGAGCTAATAAGGTTAAATATTTTTCATATGTTAATTTTGCATGGACTTTTGCTGTTTTGGTTTCTGAGAATACAGTCGTCCTTTAACTTTGTCTTGGGCTTTCAGTGATCACGTCCCCTGACCTGCACAAGCACGGAGAGATCTGGGTCGTCCCCAACACCGATCACGTCTGCACCCGGTTCTTCTTTGTGTAAGTGTTAGGCCTGGGGTCTGCGTGCTGCGGGCTTCTTCGTAAGTGAGGCGATAGGGACCGCATTTCTGCCTCACCACTTTAGCTGCCAGTATGGATCAGACATGTCATTTCTCAACAACTCAATGTTTTTGTTTTATTTTAATAAACTGTAAAAAATAGTGATGTTTAAATGTTGTTAATGAAGGAGAATGGAAAATACTCTTTAACCATCTGTCTGTGTGTATGTATGTAGACATGTATATATGTGCATATAAATGCACGTATGTGGGTATATGTAAATATACTTAGTTGTTATGTGTACAGATATTAGAACATGGAATGAAAACAATGATGAGACGGTCTTGTCCCTATAAAAAGCCGGTTTGCATTCTATATACTATAGGTTGGCAACATGGGACATACTGTAGATTTTTTTGATACAACTGTATCATAAGAGTGTATTCAAATATAAAAGCATTGCTTTTCATCCCTAAATAAGCAGTGAGGGTGGTAACTGTTTGCATCCAACCCACCCTCCCTTGACCCCCAACCCTTTTCTTACGCCTATCTCTTCCTCGTCCACAGTCCTTCCCAGAAAGGACCTCAGGGAAGCATGGAGTGTATCTCTTTTTGTACTTTTGCGTAGCTTTCTAAAGAGAAGATGGAAAAGTGCACCGGCTTGTTTTTTATTGGCTGCATCAAAATGACTGTGTCGGGATTGCTGCGATGCATGGTGCAGCCGTAGCGCCCTGTGCCGTGGCGTCTCACCTGTTAGCTTGTTGTCAGTCTGTTCCCCTCGAGAAGGTAATGAGCCGCCTGGTTGTCTTTGGGGTGGCATGAAAACTGAATTTCTTACGGTGCAGTTTCATATATTATGTATCTTGTATCCAATGTGCATAGGATACGTATTAATGCATGAATTGCATATTATGAGACAAAGACATGTCTGTAGATTCCTTTGTTAATGGCGAGGCAGCAGAGAGAGTATTGGAAAGAGCCCTGCTTTTGATCAGACAGCGTGCGTCCAGGCCCACCAGTTATTAGTAAGGCGACATTAGGCAAGTCACGTAACTTCTGTCAAGCTTCATCAGCGGATACAATGAAGTACCCTCAGGAGACGCAGTAGAACAGTCCAATGTCAGCCAGACTTCCCACAGGAAACCAACGGCCCTGAAAAATGGGATCATTGCTATCACCCACAAGTAGACCACGTGCAAAGGTGTGGTCCCGGGGAGCCGTGAGCCTAGTGGAGTCCCCGGGATCTGGTAGCACCAGAGCTGTTACACATCCGTAGGTCCGAAAGGACGAGGCCAGGAAGCATCATCAGAACCCAGTAGGGGGCGCCTTTCTAGTTCAGCAGCTTTGAGAGGAGTCATGGCCTTGGGCTGAGGGACGAAGGCAGCCAAGCTGCCCTTGTGGGGCGGGATCTAGGGAGCCTTGACCTCTCCCTTTTGCCAGTGTCTCCGCGTTGGTCAAACCCTAGAAACTAGCAGCCGAGGGAGCATATTGACGGGGTCCGAAGTCCTCCCCTCAGCCTGACTTTGGTCAGTTAATCTGTCCCTTTTAGCATCTTGCTAAAACTCAAACTTATTGAGTTAAAACAAACAAACAAACAAACAAAACTTTAGCTTTTTAAGTAGACAGTAAGCATTCAAGCATTAATTCATTGAAATTTTACATAAGTTATATATAAAATAAGGGATTACTTGTGGGGTGCATGTATGCATGCATTTACTAAAGAGAAAAATTATTTTATAAGAAGAAAAAAAAACTAAGGAAAAATCATCTGAAGAAAAGAAAAGAAAATACTCCTGGTATACGCTAATACTTTCCAAATAATGCAAAGGAAAAATTCTATTAAGATAACGATTTTCATTTTTTCATAAATACAAATGAGATTTCATCCTTATTCTCTGCACCCTCAGGAGAGAAGGGACTAACTGACAGGAACTGATAAGATTCAAAACACATCAAAAGGGGAATCCACGCACTAATTAACGTACATTCTAATTACAACCATCCATTTCTGTCTTTATAAAATGGTACCGCAGAATTTCAGCCAAGTGCCTCCCTGGTGAGTGGGAACATCTTGGTGAAAAATAAATTGATGAGAAAGGAGAGACTTAGCACAAACTTCCCATTTCAGAGAGAAAGTCAGTTTCTGTTTTTACGTTATTCTTTTTTATTTTAAACAATATATGATCTCTTATGTTAGACGCTTGGCCTGATGACTAGTATATAAATGAATGTGCCTTCCTTTTTATCTGTTAATAAGTAAAATTAAAAATGAAAATAACTTCCATGCTAATCAGATTTTTAGAGAGGAGATATTTTATTATCTTAGCCTGTATAAGATAGGCTAATCTTATTCTTTCTAACAAGTAAATAATAACAAAGAAGGAGAGAAAAATCGGGGGGGAATTTTAGGGAACAGACTACTGTATCAGAAAAAAATTGAAAGTAAAATTTAAAGGACAATATCCCTTAGAGGGGGAAAAAAGGAGAATGAGAAGTTTTTTAAAAATCTTGTTGGGAAATTCCAAAATGAATAAACTTAATCAAATGTAAATGCTTCAGGCAAGAAAAAGGTAATAATTCAGATGTTATGAACAGATTCCAGCCAATTTCAAGAATTTTCAGCAATGCTAGGAATTGTCGCTAAAGCTTGACTTCATTATTGACCTGGGTCCTGTAGGTACAGAGACGTCACGGCCAACAAACGAAAACAAGGCAGCTCTTTAAAAGGGGCCAGGTGATGGCCTGGAACAGGAGCTGCGAAAACCCGCAGACATACTGTGTTCTGCTCATAGACAACAAAAATGTGTATTTCACAGTGAATGGAACTTCTAGAGTGAGAGAAGAAAACTTACTCTTGGTATTTTTCATGAGCAGGCTTAAGTAATAAAATTCAAGAGAAGGTAGCTGATGCTTTGGCAGGTAAACAGAATAGGTGTGTCTAGTGCCATGGATCCCTGGCCACAGCCACAGTGAAAACTCCCTCAACCGTGTGGGTCCAAGGACAGGCTGAGAGAGACGCTGGATCTGGGCACCTTGCTTCTTTGGTATTGCAGCCCACATGTTTAATGCTCTGGTTTTTCTTTGACTCAGAGAAGACAGGTCTGCAAACGAATTGTTTACATATTTTGTCTGTTAACAACATTTAAGGTTTATACCCCCTCCTAGTTCTCAAAACATATCAAGACGTTCAGAAATGTAAGAACGGGAAGTTCAAATAAAACAGACCATCTGCAGGAAAGAGACGGAGTATCTCAGGGTCTTGAAGAGTCGAGCAGATCTATTTCAGGACTTCCTATGTTACCCAGAAGGGTCAGCGCAAATCCTACCCCTCCCCGAAGCTCCTAATCAAAACGAACCTTCCTGAGGTTCTGCAGCTCACCACCGAGCTTCCTTTTTAAACCCCTCTTACTCACTCCGCCAGGCTCGCCTCGGGGCTGACTCCGGCCCACCCCCGCCCCCACACCTCACTCCCCTGCACCCCTGCCCCGCAGCGCCTGGGACCCCACACCTACTTGCTTGTCAGCTTGTGCTGATGAATGAACAGAGGCAAAGGCAAAAAAAGAAACTCTCCTGGATTATATGTGGTTTTTATTTAAGGTCAAAGTTTGAAATAAAATCTAAAGAGGCAGACACAAGAAAATTTTACAAAATAAGACCCGTAGAGTAGCCGTACAATGAAATGAGAGCTGTCATTACAAAAGATAAACAGCACTCGATTGGGAACACAGTGAGGAGGAGACAACTTACAGTTAGATGACAGAGCATCCGTCACGGCTCAGTGGAGCTGTGTGGCATCGAGCTGATAGGATCAGGGAACTTTGCTTTGTCCCCAGTCTATAATAAATCCAATTTCTCTGTCTCCAACCCAGATCTCTTTCCCAGATTTAAACTGCCACATCACTCCCTGCTTCGCGTCCTCAACAGCTGCTTACTGCTTGCAAGATGACGTCCAGCCTCCTTTGCAAGCAGAACCCAGCAGCCTTCCTGCCCTTACTCCTCCTTTAGTACCGGCTGCGGTGGAAGGTCCAGGAGAGGCAGCCCCCCAGCCTCACGGCCCACCGTGTCTCACCCCAGCTGTTAGGCTTTGCGGCCTGCCCTCCAGACTTCGGCTCTCGGCCCACCAAGCCCGGGCTCTCCCACCCACTGTCTCCGCTCACGCTCCCTGTCCAGCGCCCACTCCTCGTTGCCGTTGCTCCTCCCAACAGCGTCCCTTCACTTCCTGGTGCTGCTGCTTTGTGCTCCTGTGTGCTGCCCGGGGCGTGGTTTTAGCAGCAGATTATTCTTTTGCGCATGGAAGGTCTCCTTTATAACTCTGTGTGCTCCTTGAGGTCAGGTTGGTGTTTGCGTACCTAGCACCGTGCTCGGCAGGGAATAGGAACGAACGAAATGCCCACATCGTAACCGTTTGCTGAGTATTTCCCCCCAGAAGTCTGCCAACACCTGAAGCGCGGTGTGTACCCAGTGGAACCCATTGTTGCTAACTGCCCGAACCAGCGTCTCCGCGTGCCCCGCCTGCGCGGCCATCCCACGCCTCAGAGACTTGTCCCCCGGCGCTGCCCTTGTCCTTCTCCTCGTCCCCGCTCGCCGCAGCCGCTCTCCCCGGTGTCTCTCTCCAGTGTTCTCCTCTTGCCACCTTCGTTTCCAGGGTTTTGTCATTCTCTCCCCTGGGGTGGCTCCCGAAATACTAGTCATCCTCCCTGCTTCCGATTTCTCTGCCGCCCCTAACCTATCCTGCAACGCCAGGTGTGTTCAGTGTTACCATCCGGGCCCTACTGGTGCTTGTCCAATGCACAGAAACCGAAATGAAAGGGAAGCAGGAAAGGAGAAATCGCCCGCAGCATCTCCGTTTAGCGTTGACTACGGTTCACCGTTTGGTGTGTAGCCTACATTTCTGTGTGTATAAAATTTTAAGATCATGCTAGTTATGCCACGGTTTCCAAAAACAGACTTTTGATTATTCCTTGCTCAACCAGGCTTGGTCGTTTTTAACAAATACAAACACGTCCTCCCGCTACATTTACCTTGCTTCAATTACCCGCACAAACCACTGATTGGACAAAACTAGTATCCAACAGCCTGGAGTTGTTCTTCCCCCTCCTGTGTCTTTACTGTCAGTTGGTCCAAAAGCTTGGCCCTCTCCCCAGCTCACCTGCAGCCAGTCCGAACCGGGGGTGTCTCTGTGGGCCTTTCCTGACACCCCCGTCAGACATGATGCCTGTCTTTACCCCAAATTTTGCTCCCCCTGCCTGGGACCTCCCCAGCTGCCTCATCCTGCAGTTATTTGCATAACTGTTATCTGCCCTCATAACGTCAAACTAACTGTGTTCGTGCGTGGGAGTCTCCTGCCGTGTGCAGAAACACCACACATTGGATGAAAGCACTGGCCAGAGACCGAGTGTTGTAGCCTGATGGCGAGATTGGACGTGGGCTGTGACGTCACCTCCGGTTCCTTACCGGACCTTTGGGCAGGTGCTGGACACCATTCGGTTTACAGTGAGTTCTTTCTATTGCTCGTGAAAAATGGTGCTGTGTTGCTGGGTTCCGGATTTAGGGAGGCAGAAAGCAGTCGCCTGGGCCAGTCTTGGAACGGCACTGTCAGCTGCGGTATCAGTTTGAGGATAAAGGTTGTCAAAACATTCACAAGCTTTCCCCATGAAATTTCTCCAAGAGAGCCCTCGACAGCTACATTCCATCTATCGTCTTATTTTTTCTCTTACAGCTTTGTAAACAAATTAGTTTATTTTTAATGAAAGTTTTAGTAATCTTTTTTATAACTCCTGGAAACATAAATTATTTTTCTTTCCCTTCAGACGGTTTCATTTTTCTTCATAAAACCCCAGTCAAGTGTGTCATTTCCCTATTGATATCTTGTTCTTGTTCTTTTTTTAATTGTGTTGCTTTCCAGACTTGAAGGAGCTTCTTATTAATAACCCGGTGTTTGTCTGCAGTGCTAATAAATAGCTACGAAGTGCTGTGTCTGCCAGGTTGTCATCATCGGTGGCCTCGTGCCACTGCTAATTGTCTGCCTGAGCCCTGTCAGTGGACCACGTCACCTGCTAGTTTGCTTTCCTTTATTATTATATCTGCTTCAAAGTTTAAGGTACCTGAATGCTTTTGGCCAGTTTTATCCTCAGCCTACAGTTGTTGTGCTTCCTGCAAGGCGTCATAGGCAATGGAAACAATAGGCATTTTTCTTAATACTTTGCCTCTCACCCTCACTCTTGCTCTCTGCTCATGCGCTTACAGGGACATGAAGTATCACATGGGGAATAGAGTCAATATCGTAATGACTACGCATGGTGCCAGGCGGGTACCGGGAATATCAGGGGGACACTTTGTAAAGTATATGATTGTATAACCACTATGCTGCGCACCTGAAAGTAATACAAAATAATACTGAATGTCGGCTGTAAAAGGGGAACCCTCGTGCACTGTTGGTGGGAATGCAGACTGGTGCAGCCACTGTGGAAAGCAGTGTGGAGATGCCTCAGAAAATTAAAAATGGAACTGCCTAATGACCCAGAGATTTCACTGCTGGGAATTTATCCGAAGAAACCTGAAACTTTAATTCGAAAGAATACACGCACCCCTATGTTCAGTGCAGCGTTACTTACAATTTTAAAAATAAAATTAAAAATACAAAGAAAAAGAGCAGTCTGTTGTACCACGGGCTGTAGACTAGGGATTTTAGAGCAGCCAGAATCTCCCAAATTCATCCACTAGGAGGCCACGGGCAACCGTCGTCAGTATATGGGTTAGGCGAGCGATTGCAGCAGGCGGGTTGCAGAAAAAGTGAGGAGTTATGTAGTGCAGACAAATCTCTTTTTATTGTATTTTTCCCATTATCACCTACCCTCCTGTACCCACCCCCCCATCACCACACTAATGTCCACGCCAGTGAGTCCTCTTTCATTTGTGCTCGGTGCCTCGACCCCGTCCCCTGCCCTCCGCCAGAGCTGTCATCTGCTCTCCATCTATGAGTCTGTCTCTATTTTGCTTGTTAGTTCATGTTGTTCATTAGATCCCACATGCGAGTGAGATCATAATGGTGTTTGTCTTTCTCTGACTGGCTTATTTCACATAGCATCATGTTCTCCAGATCCATCCTTGCTGTTGCAAAAGGTAGTATTTTCCTCTTTTTTACAGCCAAGTAGTGAGCCATTGTGTTAAAGGTCCCACAGTTGTTTTAGCCACTCACCTACTGACGGACACTCGGGCTGCCTCCATATCTTGGCGGCTGTGAACAACGCTGCGATGAACATAGTGCTGCTTAATCAAAGGCCGGCTCTCAGTTGAAAGGAGTGGAGACAGTAGAATGTAGGTGGGGTATTAGGCCACGCGTATCTTCGTCAACATTGTGTCCAAAGTACAGAGGACACAGTAGGTGTGTTGACTGTACCAAAAGTGCCGTAGAGTTAGAACCAACATATGTGCTTATTAGGAAATTGGGAAACCATCAAAAATCAAAATGGTTCTACGACCTTCCCTTCTGCCCACTTTTTCAAAGGACAGTGGTCTTCTTTGTGTCTTTTTTTGTTCTCTTTCTGCCATTCTCCTCTGTCTCCCGTAATCTAAATCCTGGAGGCGCTGGCTGTACTGGCCTGTGGAGCGGCATCCCCCTCCTTGGGCAAGCGGCCCCCACCCCCAGCCTGGGCTCGGAACTAGGGAGGGCTTAGTCGACCCTCAGTCCAGGAGGGTAAATTTCTTCAAAAAGCAGGATGAAGAATTTTCTTGCCCAGGAAAATACATCTTTACGTATTTTGCCACAAGGCACCTGATTGGATTTGAACAATTCTATAGCATTGCTATTCGCCATTCTCTGATTCTTGGCGGGGAGTTCCCTGCTTGATCCTCTGAGAAAATACTCCCGACAGGGCTGTGTACCACAGAGGCCGCTCTCCCCTTACGGTAGTGTTGTCCCATCTGGGGTCTTTTCTACATACACGTGCGTACACTTGCGGGGTAGGAATTAACGACGTTGACAGGCCATCTTGGGTCAGTGGGTAGGAGTTTAAACCTGATACGAATGGTCATCACTCAGGGTTCTAGCAGTGGGTTCTGTCAGGACGTAGGCCCTCACTGCTTGTGACTTCTGTTTCCTGTCCCTGCGTTGTGCTGTTTCAGGAGCATTTACGGGCCGTGAGGAACAGCCACAGGGCACGTGCATCTTTGAGGCTGCGCTTACACCTCTGGTTATCTGTTGTGGAGTAGAAGTCATTTTCACGAAGTAAAATTAATGTATCACCTCTTCTACTCTGAATAGTATCATGGAAGTTTAAAAATTCTTTCTTGGGAAACTTTTATTGCCCTAGTATGCTTATTCGAGGAAATGAATTATCATCTAAAATATAATTATTTTTTTCTAAAGGACTTCGTAATTGCTTTCCTTTAGTGTTATATCTTCCCTTCTATTACTGAGCTAAACTTAGCCCACTTGCATTCTAATGGGCAGGACCGGCATAAATAAAATGCGTTATTGTCAGACCGTATGGAACAAGCAGTGAAGAGAAAAAAAATGCATCACTGATTGCAACAGAATAATAATTAGAAGGCAAGCGTGGCAAAGGCGTGGTGGCAGAAGGTGGAGTGGTTGCTTGGAGTATAATTGATCAGAAATAAGTAAATGACCGAAGCAAGGGCGACGTCAGACCCTAAGGAACGTGACGTTGAAGGGAGCGTGTTTTTTCACAGCCGCTTCGTGCAACGCCTGTGGGGAACTGTCTGCTGGGGCGCATCCTGCAGCTCAGGTAGTGCTTTGTGGGGATAAAAAGCTAAAGTTAAAATGGAAGGAAGAGACAAATTAGAGCATGGCAGACAGTAATCAGGTGTTCAGTAATGCAGGCTTTTCTGTGCTTTGCGACGCAAACGCATTAGTAAACAACTGAGAAATAACTGTCTTGCTATTGATTACTTCGGGCTGTGTTTTGGGTATCAAATAACATTTCTAAGCTGTTTGAAATGCTTTTTGAATTTTCTTGAGTGTTTCAACTTTTCTAATGTTGTATTTCTCTGTTTTGTGCTTCAGCTATGAAGACGGCCAAGTGGGAGATGCAAATATTAACACACAAGAAGGAGGCATTCACAGAGAGATCCTCCGAGTGATCGGTAACCAAACTGCTACTGGTTAAAGGACCACCACGTAATTAACGTGATTTGAAAGCCTTCCTCGGGTTCAAAGCTGGATTTTGAACTGAAGAAGATGATGAAATAATTTATTGTTATTATAAACAAAATTAATCCTTTGAATACCGATTTTTTTCTTAGTATTTCTAAGCATCTCATTAAATACCTAAAATGGTATACAATTTATCAATTGTAGGGTTATGGAATCTAGTAATAAAATTACAGCAGCACTTAAACTGAAGTTTGGGTTGCTCACACAATAAACAGATTGAAAAAACAGTTTTGTGCTGATATTTTTATATTAAACTCTTTAATTGGAAATCTGGTATTATATACCGACACTTTAGGTTACTGAAATAGAATTGAGAACGTTTTATAATGATGTCTAAATCTATTAAGATACTTTGCAATAAGTAAAATGTTTGCACATTCTGACGTGCTATATACTTAGTGGTATGAACATTCAAATATTTTGAGGAGGGATGTTTCCTATTCTCCTGTTATTTTTTCCTTACACAAAAACAATTAGTCTTAGATACATGCTTTGCCCAAAAGTTTGTAATATACATATGTGTAGATTCATGCATCAAAATGTGTGATTGTGCATATATGTGTCTATATGCACATATGTGTTTTGACAATAGATGGTGCAGCTCTGCTATTCTATTCTCATTCAGTGAAGAGAAATACTATTCAGTAAGCAGTAAATCTGGATATAAACCAAGGTATAAGCCAAATTGACCATTACTATTCATTCACTGAAAACATTTGCAAACCATTTTTCTCTATTTGTTTAAAAAATGTTTTCTTCGGGAAAATTCACCTCTTTAATAATGTTATTTAAGTGTCATAATTTGGGAAAATAGATGCCCCTGGTGGACTAAATCCATATTTAAGTGATCACATGTTTAAAAGGAAGGCCTCAGAATTTAAACAAGCAGTATGTATTTTTTTTAATTTCCTACAGTGGCACATTTAAAAAATTTATTTAGAGCACACCAGCATTTTTATATTTTTTCATCTAATACCTGTGCTTATTTTTTTTCATATTGAGAAAGAAGACAAACTTTGAAATTTCTTTTATATTAAAAGAACACAAACTAAGTTTATAGAGAACAATGACACCAGCGCCATCATTCTCCTTTCAAGGATCATATGCTCACCAATGTCATTTCTGTTTCTGTGCTCAGTCATTACAAGTTTTAATCAACAGTGTTTGATTTCCCCACGTGATGTCTTTGGAATAGGGCCTTTCGTGAGAGCATTTTAATTATCCTGTCTGCCGTTCTAGTCAAACCCTGAATCAAGGCTCATATCTGATTTGAATTCACTTAGAAAGAAAAAATAAAAATGTATCGTCAAATGCAAGTATAATGTTACAACTTCTGTGTTTGTTCCCTTGGGCAGATAAAGGGTGAGAGAAAAGGTCGTACGCATTATTAAGGTTCCCATTTAGGAAGTCTTACCGTTTGTTTGCTTAGATCACCAATAATTGGTTTCTGCAAAAAGAGAGCTAAAATGGTTGCGATGTTACACAGTGTGATGCGGCCCACTTAAAATGTGGATCTGTTTTGACTTGAACCTTTGAACCCAAAATGAGACTGAGGGATGATGCCGGCATTCCGGGGCCAAGCGACAGTGTCTTACAGTGTCCTGTGACCGGACATTTGAAGACGTTAGGTAGGGTACGAGGACCACCTGCTTCACCCAAGTCCCTTTGACTGTGTTTTTAAAACATTTTTAAACAACAGAAGTATTTTTTCAAATTAATTTTATGGGGCATTTTATATACGAGATAAATACGAAGATGTAAGCGCAGGATCTGGAAGGCGAGGTCCTGGAACCCTGCCTGTTCGGCCATGAGGACCACTGCGGCCCCTCCAAAAACTCTCCAGTGCCTGCAAGGGTAACGTTAAAACCACAGACCGGGTCCTCTAAGGGTTTCCCGAACAGTGGTCTGTAAGGAGGAGTGCAGTGCTCAGATCTCAGCAGCAAGGGGAGTTCCGTGACTCAGGAGACTCACTGGGCAGCGTGCGTGGGGGGCGGCGAGGAAACACTGGCATAGCAGGAACTTCTGCCAACTTCCGAATGCAAGTAGGTTCCCCACACAGAGCAAAAAATGTAGTTGATAGTTTTAATGCCTAATAATGCTATAGACACCTTTTATGATAAAGCAAGGTGTCTTCTAATAATTAATGGAATGCTATTGGAATGCAGAATGAAATTTTAAGCTTGTTTCAAAAAACTGTCAGATCTTTCGTAGGCAAATATTCTAAGCAGAGCCAAGCTTTTAATTGAAATTTTGATACTGGGGATACTGTAGTATACTGATGCTTACCTTTATTTCTAAAGAATCCAGTTTTAATAAACATCGTTAGTAAATGAATAATGCCTTGCTTCCAAAATCCAAGCAGGTCCTTAAAATGTAGAAATTGACCCATTATTATTACCATGCCTTGATTCAGTCACCACATTAGGATATTATCTCCTGAGTTATTTGATGATTTCAAACATGTGATATTCTATTGTATTTATATATTACTTGAAGTCTGTCCACTGCTGCTTTGTGATAGTTGTATTAATTGTATCGCCATTATTAGTTAATATTGACCCACTGAGCAAAGGCAGTCATTTTCATTCTTGAAGGAGGGGAAGGAAGAACCTTCCTTTTTTAGTTGTACTTTTTCTGGCATTACTGATTTTGTGAACATTTCACTACGAATAATTTGTCCTCTTTCTTGTCCACTGTATTAAAAAGGGAAATGAGAAGACAGTCAAGAAGAGGAAAAGCGATGCTATACTTATGTTATTGAGTGTTAAGGTACTTTAGCAGTGCCTTAGGTGGCATTGCATGGAAAAGATTTTTATTTTTGTTGCTCAGCCAATGTCAGTCAAATGTTGGACTTGAGTGTCTTTTAAACTTAAAATTTGAATATGAGAGTATAAAATTTAAATATAAGATGGTAAGCCCTGAAACTTACTATCAAATACTATGACATATAAGAAAGCAACTCAAACTGTTGTTAATACTCTGAATTTTTCTCATTGAAATAGTCAGGCACTCAGAAAAGAAATTCTCAATTACCCTCCCCTTTGCTAAAAGAAAGGAAACCCTTAACACGCATGTCTACAAGTCTTTATCATCACTGAAAGAATCTAAGCAGTACATTATCATAATACCACACTTTGACTAGGGTATAGGGTTTCAGAAAGTTTTAAGGAAAAATTCATTATCTTTGTTAACGTCTGGACAACTTTTGTCAGGTAGTAATTTAATGTGTCTGACAGGCCACCCAACCTTGGACCATCTGCTGTCTCAACGTGCGGATTTCATGGTGGCGCTTGAAGCACACTTTAATAATATTAGGGTGTTATTCTATTGTCTTGCTGAACTCTTCATTATAACACTACCTCAAGACAAGTGATAAACTGTATAGGTAAATTGGGTTTCCAGGATCATAAAGAAATGGAGTTTTACAAATAGAAGTCGCCAATTCAGCAGGGAAGATAGATGTTTGTCTGCCACCCCTTGCCCATGCGGTGATTGGATATTTCGGTCACTGGTGCTGAGTGACGTCGTTAACACCCAATGAGTTACGGGAGAGGAGTTCAAGTTGCAAAATTCGAAAATAATTAGTTCCTTTTAAGATTGGCTTTCTCCATGGGCCAGTTTTCTGCCCCTTTACCTAAAGCCACAAGCAATGGCCCCCACGGAGCAGGTAAAGGAGTAAAGCACCCAGCACCTGTGCCCGTGCCAAAATGGCAGCCCAAATGTTCGGGCATTTTGGCATTGAATGCCTGCTAAATTTTTGTCAGATTATATATAAATTTGATGTATATTATTATCCAGTTAATTTTTCTTGGGGATTTTGTGTATACTATGATATATTAGGATAAGTTTTTGTAGGTCAAAAGAATTTCAAGTAGTTTTTAGACAAAACATACCCATGAGTGTGAAAAAGCTGTGTTGAAGAATAGATTACATTACACATTTACCAGCAAGTCAGTTAAAAATAGTGCTTATTTACATAGTCAACATAATTTAATGTTCTAAAAATAATTTCTTCAGTCTGCCCAATACTTAATGTATCATTTGAGATTTTAAAATATGCAGCCACTCCTTTATGTAAACATTAAGATATGCCTATGTTTCTTTAACTATATAGCCTTCTTTACAATAAATTTTTTGACTTTTGTGCACAAAATAGTATTGCAACCTGCTATTTAGCCTTTGGTGCCTTAGAGTTATTATAAATATTTAACAATATGTACATAATGTAAATACTGCCAAGAGATCACTAAGGCCAAATATTTTCTCTATTCACTTTTTATTGCACTTGCTTTCTATTGCTACTTAAGCCTCTTTTATCCAGCTTTGTAATAGTTCTAACATTGTAGCCAATGTAAATGTTTACTTTCAATAAATCTGAATTTGTTCAACAAGTATGGTATATGTGGGCCCTACTTTGAAAACCCGGTTAGGCTTAGAGATTCCTCATGATGCACCTGGCTTCTGGGGACTAGATATTTGAAGTTCTCAAACTCTAAAAATGATGTTGCCCTTTTCATTTATAAAATACTTTTAAAATAAGAGGGAATAAAAGGAAAAAAACACCTCTTTTTGCCAGTATTCCCAAATAGTTGCAATAGATCTAATTGACCATGTGAATACCATTGTAATTTTCAAATTATGTCAAGAAATACAGGATTGAAAAGACTTTTGCACATTATGTATGTATGCTCTATTTATAAATGCCTTGGCATAGTATCAAAAGGAACATTTCAGATGAACCATCCTGAATTTTCTAAGTGCTTCTGACGTGATTCGTAAATAGAAAATGATTTTAAAGCACCCCTTTTTGTAAAATACATCTCATTAACTGAATAAGACATTAGCCCATAAATAAATATGGCTCTCCAAACACAATAGTAAATGTTTATGAGGAGTTACGTTTACATTCTCATAATAAATAAAATAATCTTACTTCTATTTACAGCTGAGAAATCATAGATAAGAAGATTCAGTTAGACTTGATTTCAAGTGCTCCAGAAATGCTTGTTAGGAGTCTAGTCAGTATAAGGAATAGAGATGAGATTTTGTCTTGGCCTTAAGGTGCTTTCAATCTATTTGCAAAAAGAAAACAAACCCGTTTGGAAATAATCCATGAAGAACACAAGGCCAATGATGCTGAATGGAAAAGACCAGAAATGCAGGTCATGCTGAGG